AGACAGAGAATCAATACATTTGTCTCATTTCCTATTCTGTCAACATCTCTATTTCTCTCTCTCTCTCTCTCYCTCTCTCTCTCTCTCTCTCTCTCTCTCTCTCTCTCTCACACACACACACACACACACACAACACACACAGACGCACACACATACAGACACACACACATACACACACACACACACACACACACATACAGACACACACACACACACACACACTGAATCTATTTTATTCCTTCATTTATTTAATCACTCATTTAATTTTAATTTCCAATTTTATATATACATATATATATATATACTATAAAATATATACTTTATTTATATATAGCATTTTCAAGTGTTGTCTATAAATGTAAATAAATTTATTTTGAATGTTATGTCATATCTTTGAGAAAAGTGAAAGAAAGAGAGTGGAAGAGACAGAGAGACTGAGTTTATGGATGACTACATATAATAAGACAATGACATGGATTCATGCGCTGATGACTTCTTCAACAATATTGAGATACCATTGATGACAATACTTTCATATATCATATGGCGATATAACACTAACAATACAATATATAGTATATGATATAAATTTATATGACATCTAATGTGTATTCACTTTTGTTATCCCATAATATTCATTATATATTACCCATCATTTACTTTCAACCCATTCCTCATTATTAAACAATGTTTTTGTATGAAAGTAATAATAATAATAATTTTTTAATGAAAAGAGAAAATGCATTTTTAAGCGCTTCACTAAATCCAATAAAATTATTGGGAAAAAAACATATAATAATGTTAATACAGTATAATATACTGCATAACATACAATAAATAATAAAATAAACAATTATTTTACATATAGATTATGAAAGTTGCTGTTGAATAATAATCACAATAATCATCGCTAAAATTAAATACATTATAAAAAATTAGTTTAATATTATGCCTATTATCCAAATCGCTATCTTAATTAATATGAATTTTAAATATAATGATCGTTATAATGATGGTGTCATACATTAATTGGCATTATTCCTGAAGGATTGCCTCAAAAAATCAATATTATTGGTGTTATAATTAATGAAAAAAATAATTATTATTATTTAACAAAAAAATATATGAGACTTTTAGTGAGTATTTTTTAATCTTATTTTGTTTTTACTATATATTAATATATATACTGTATATATATATATAATGATATAAATTAAATTCATTTTTAGGCATATTTTTTGACAATATTGTCTAATTTATTTTGATATACTATACAGTTATATTTTTTGCATTACGTATGTACTGTATATTATAAAATAAACTAATATTAAAGTTAATGGTGTACTTGTAATTAAGATATATGATTTTGATACTACAATAGATTTTTTTTGTTAAAAATAATTTTTTTATAATATATTTTGTATTTTTTTTTGTTATAATACTGTTAGAAAAAAATGTAAAGTTCATAATCAATAATTGCAACGATAAACATATTAGTATACAATTCATTGTATTTACAATTATTATAGTTATTTTTCAATAGTTAGTTATATATTGTCATTAAAATTTTATTGATTTTTTTCACTTGACACACAAATTATTATTATTATTATAACTGTATTTATTTAAATGTTTGCCAAATCAAACAAAAAATTATTGTCAACAAACAATAAACAAAATATATAAAAAACATTGTTTTGCAACATTAAGATTAAAATAAAATTACTGTAAATTTTGCAATTTTGTTAGTTGCAAACAACTACTAACTTTTTTTATAAAAAAAACTATTACAACAAATTAGATAAAGTAACCAAAAATTTATTTATTTATTTATTGTTTGTACAACAGTTATAAGCAGTATATATATATATTTTTTTCAAACAACAAACATATATCCCAATGAGTGAGAAATATATTTATCTAATAATAATAATAAGTTATATTTATTTTGTATCGTTAAATGAGTCGTTGAATTAGTAGTTTGAAAATATACTGTAGTTTTGGAGTGGAATGGTATGGAAAAAACTAAACTAAAAGTTAAGCCACCAGTGCTTCTCTCATACAATTCAATGACTGACTATTACAATGTAATTTTCATTTGGTATGAGCTATGAGTTTACTGAATAAGTGAAAGAGAGAAAAGAGAGAACCTATATATTGCCTATATTTTTATGTCTGGTTTTATTTTTATACATTTATATAATCACACAACTCATTCATACCAATCTCTCTCTCTCTCTCTCTCTCTCTTTCTYTCTCTCTCTCTCTCTCTCTCTCTCTCTTTCTCTCTTCATACAGATTTCATTGATTTGAAATATATGTTGTTACTCATATATTAAATACTACCAGTGCTCATCATAGAATATTTGCTTTCTATTATTGTAGTAGTAGTAGATTTGATAGAAATTTTTGCTGTTTATATTTTTAATAGAAATGGGACTCAGATTTTTATTAACCTTAAACTGTATATCATATATATTATATAAATAGGGAGAGAGAGAGAGAGTGAGTGAGTAAGAGTGAGTGAGTGAGTGAGTGAGTGAGTGAGTGAGTGAGTGAGTGAGTGAGTGAGTGAGTGAGTGAGTGAGTGAGTGAGTGAGTGAGTGAGTGAGTGAGAGAGAGAGAGAGAGAGAGATAAAGAGATGTTAGATGTGCACTGGTATTAGTTGCAATAATAATTGTATATATATTTTTGGTCGAATCAGTGCTGTCTCCCGATTTTGCTCATTGATACGGAGCGTTAGCTTCGATCGACTGGTGCTTATCAGTTGGCCACAGGCACAGCACAACCATCACCAACACTGTACCATCGTTTGCATCGTTTGCTATCAAAAATAGTGTGTGTTTTCAGTTGTGTTGTGCTATTCGTATACATTGTATGTACTGTATATAATATATATAACACAAGCACTTAAAGCTTATGTTCATTGCTATCAATTCCTATTCAACTAACTCATAACAGTTAATCTCTTATCGCAAACACAGCACAGATAGGAGAGCACCGACAGAAAAGAGCATCGGGAGAACAGGCAATCAAATAATGAGAGAGAATAAGAGAGAGAGAGAGAGAGAGAGAGAGAGAGAGAGAGAGAGAGAGAGAGATTAGGTTTAGGTTTTTGATTATAAGTGACGATTATTTTAGATTTTGAGTGTTTAAGTATTATCGCAACACTTATTAAACATATATATATATATATATATATATATATATATATATATATATATATATATATATATATATATATATATATATATTGTTTATATAATATATATGGCATTAGGGCTTTTCATTTAACATACCCGGAGAGTCAGTCAGTCACTCCCAGTGATGTTAAATACTATGTTATATATATAATACATTTCAAAAGTATTTTAGATATAATTTATGCATTTAAACACATCTATGATATCAAACTAAATATGTTATATAATATAAGAGGTGTTAATGGTTTTTTTTAAAAACAGATTTCTGTGTAAAACACTATAAATAATGGCAAACAAGAGATGAGAGAGGAGTCGTCTCTCACTTCAAAAAAAATTAAAACATACAATCATACAATATATATTATATTAATATTAGAGCTAAAATATTAGACTATAATATGTAATAATAATAAGACAACAACAATAACAGCACAACACATCAAATAGATAGTCCCGACACCCGAAAGTAAAATAACCGAAAAAATAAATAAATAAAATTCAAAAGCAGTTATCCATACGATTAATCTTTTTAGTTATCAGTCCTCCTCTCACTTTTGATGGCAAACTTTTCGGCAGACAATCATTTACTACTAAAAACACAAATAGCTTTTACTTTTAAACTATATATTTAGTCTCTTCATCTCATCTCTACATAAGAGATGTCTCATATCTACAGTTAAGACTTTTTTGATGTTGTTATCTAATAATAACAGAAACTAATCTATCGTTTGTATCCCGATTTTTCGCACAATTTTTCATTTAAATCCCCAATTTTTTCATGAAAACAAAATTTGCTCATAAAATTTTAAACATGTTTTCTGATTATTCAATACTTAATAAAAAAAATGATATCACAATCACAATAGTTTTATTTTTAAAATACAACTATCAGTCTCTCTCTCTCTCCCTTTCTTTCCATCTCTTTCTTTCTGAATGAAAAGAAAGTGTTATGAGATAAGCGATTTGCACCACAAAAATAGTGAAACAGCCAGTGATTAATGTGATCCCCATATCATCGATAACAGTCTCCTTTCATTTGCTCTCCTCAATGATGTCTTCTGGTATTTCTACCATTTAATGATAGTTTCCAACTCTCTCTCTCTCTCTCTCTCTCTCTCTCTCTCTCTCTCTCTCTCTCTCTCTCTCTCTCTCTCTCTCTCTCTCTCTCTCTCTCTCTCTCTCTTTCCTAATGTTTGTCACCGAGTTTTATGTCTAAAACTTTTCGGTTCTGTTGTGTTGTCTATTAGTGAAAAAGTATAAACAGAGTTAACGCACGAGAAGATCATCAAAAATCGGTGGTAATGTTAGTAATGATATATATATATATATATATATAAAGTCGGCAACAATTCAATACAAGGGAAATACAGTCTAAGAAAAGTATCATTTAGTAAAAGTATTTGCCTTTTATGGACCCAAAAATGTAATTTACTTTTCGCTCGACTTATCATTAGTTATAATTACATAACTCTCTCTCTCTCTCTCCTAACTCTATCATCAAATGTGGTTAACATTCATTAATAATAAATTAGAAAAAATATGACACAAAAAACAATTAATTAAAAGTTTGCCGAAAAAAATAGTCATCACATAAAGTACAGCATAATTGAGAAAGAAATGCATTTCGCGTTAATAATGTCTTACTTTTATTATTATCATTAATAATATAGTTTTTATATCATTTTTATATCATTAAATTAGTTACAAATAAATTAAGCAAAAATTAAAACACTGCAAAACAAAACTATATAATATGAGTACATAATAATTGTTTCTTTTTATTATTAGTAAATAATACACACAATTAAGTGAAATATTTAACAATTCAATAGCATTCAATGTCAGATACATGAGTTTCAATGGGATTAGTAGATGAAACAGACAACTCATTGACAGCACCGGTACTACTACTACTACTACTGGTAGTTGGTTGCTGTGGTGTCGACGACACTGGGATTGTCGTAACGTTGCCGTTGGTTATGATATTCTTTAAATAGTTGTCACTTAGTCTGAAATTTGATTTATTCAACATTTTTCTGATTTGTAAGTCCTTTCGGCCGCTCAACACATTCTTCGGTGTGCTATCGGAGCCAAACAATTGAATGCGTTCGCGAATGCGCTCACTTATCACGGAATGGACGGCCGCTATCGGGTGCCAGAACGGCACGAATTCATCTTTAAGTTCGTTTTGACAAAATTTCGTTAACTTTTCGGTCATCTGTTGGCCAGCATATGCCTGCGAAAAGCCTATTCTCATCAGAACGTTGGCCGCACTGAACCGTTTTCGAGCCGAACCGGGAACAAACTCAGACTTTACTTTAGGTTCTTCCACTAAACTGCCCCAATCGATGTCCAGTGCATTCAACACTTGTCGATTAGCCGACAAGTTCTTGTCGTCCACTTTTGCATCGTTAGGATCAGAATCGCCAATAATTGCGTCCAATTCGTCGTCACTGATGGCCTCCAATGCGTCTTCATCTTTGGATTGACTGCTATACAAATCTCGTTTGCTCTTTGAACCACTTGGTCTTTCAGTCCATACATCTAATCAATTGAAATATCAATTAAATAAAAATAAATAAAAATCGTTACCATAATTACAAACCTTCGTTGAAATTATTATTTGTGATAACTGGAGCTTCAAAGACATCAGTTTTAAGTAGTAGTTCGTCTTCATCTTCACTCCAATCGCTAAAGTTGTCCTCAGACTCGTTGTTGACGTTATTGGTCTTGATTTTCGGGTGTTTAGTAATTGGCGACATATCGTCTGTGCTTTTGATGCTTTGTGCAGTTTTTGCAATGCTTTGGGGAGAGTCCGGGACATCCAACACATCAGCTATGGATTCATCGGTACTTATTGATGACAATCGATCCTCATTTGTCGTGTCTTGTAATTTAACTTCATTTGGTTTAAGTTCTTGATTTCCACCACTGATATTATGGATACTTGTGTCGACAGATTGAGTTGACATACGCTCCGATTTAGATCTTCGAGAAAAATCACTTCCTATCGACGATTCTCTGTCGCGACTAATCTTCGAGTGAGTCGAATGTGTTGGCGACGGTTCGCGTGAATAATTACCACTGGTTCGGGAATAGTGTTTACTTGTTGTCGACGCATTGTCCCGATCTGATAATCGGCTATCACGCGAACGATCGCGAGTCGGATATAATTTGATGTCCAAATGAGTAGTTCTTGAACTATCAGCTCTATGGTCATCGTGTTGACCGACAACATTCTTCTGGTCACTGCTACCACTCCGATGACTACTATTATTATGACTAACAAGTTTTTCATGTTTGTGATCAGTTGACAGCAAATGTCTATCGGCAACAATTTTCGACCGTTTATTTGGCGGCGAACGAGTTTCGCTTCGGGAGATAACAATCTTTGGATCAGCCTTTTGGACACCAAATAACAAACAAGAGAATACATATCAAACCAAAATTTAACAATAATTATCTGTTGTTATAATAATTTTTTTAAATCTAAAGAAAACTTACCGAACGTTTTGCTGACCTTCTCTTTGCTGAAGACGACGATTCAGATAAACGACTGTTTTTTGTGAACCGTTCGACGCGATGTCTCTTTTGTTTTTCCTGTTCGGCCAAACTGACCCTTACGTTTCCGTGGCGATCAAGTTTAACCTCTTTAGTCTTCGTGGGTTTATCTCGAGATAAAACATCTTTGCCATGAGTACTACTGGCGCCACTCTTAACCGATATTGAACTCGAAACATGACTTTTAGATTTAGACTCTTTTAGAGTCTTAGAGTTAGAAGAAGTGCTGTCAATAGGCTTATTGGCCGCACTTTTGACAGTCTTTTTGTTATTTAAATTAATGCCACTATTTTCACTGCTTTCCGTTTTAGTCAATGATTTTAACGATGACCCATAAGAACCGGCTTCCGATGATAGAATAGATGAACTTCTGCTGACATCACGCGGCTGTTTGTCAGCGCCCAGTGGACTGCTATTATCCAACTCTTTGATTTGTTTTTGAATTTCAATCAGTTTTTGCTGCAAACCTTCACTATCACTGTCTTCGTCTTCACATTTAATATTATATTTGTGACTCTTGTGACGTTTGGCCGACGATGAAGATGACACACTGGGCATATGTCCGGCGGCCAAATCCGAATCAACATTCGCAGCCAACACTAATGACTTGACGCGACTGTTTGTGTCCAATTTGTCGTCACTTTTAACGCCCGTTTTGCCACTGCTTGATGTCGATTGTCGAGCAATCGGTGATACAGACCTCCGGTTTGGCGAAGAGTCGTTGCCGCCGCGTCTCTTGCGGCTCATTCGATGTCTTAAATCTTCCTCATAACTGCTAGCAATGGCCGCACTACTGCTACCTCCGCCACCACCACCACCACCACTACCGCTTTCACAACGCTTACCGCCACTTCTTCGGCCGAGTCTTTCAAAAACCGATTTGCGTTCACTGGCCAACAATTGTTGCCCACTATTGGTGTCCATATTACGATTCACAATAAACAAATCTCGCTTACCTAAACTCACACACACACGCTATCGATGTTGATGATTCCCGATCGGTAAACTGTGTCCACTTTATCGGTCAAATCAATGGCCAAACTCGTAGCCAATGATAACAATGGATGCCATCAGTCAAATGGCAATGCATTGACTGCGCAGTCGCTGTCATTGAAAGTGTGTTTTGAAAATGCATTGCATTTCTAATACTGTACTAAACATGTGATTACATAATGTATTAAACAATCTATTGATTGATAAAAATATAAAATAATTAAAGTTATTGTAATTAACTGTAAATTACTCGTCAATTAAGTGATTACATGTTTGCAACAAATTGTTGTTTTATATGATATGAAACCAATTTAATAATCAAATGACTAAAGAAGCAATTGTACCGTTAATTGTAAGTTAAATAATGTTTTGTCTATTTTTTTTTCATTGAGATTATCTGTTTTTTATTTGTTTGATATAAATCAATATTGGTTTATGTCTTTGTTTACGCCATTATCGGTAACCACTAGTCGGGTGCGATGGCCGGCATGTGTGTCGACTTGACTCTCTTCCCGATCGATACCATTAAGACACGACTTCAAAGTGACGCCGGCTTCTGGAGATCGGGAGGGTTTCGTCACATCTATTCCGGTCTGATGTCGACAATGATCGGATCGGCACCTAATGGTTGGATCAACTCTTGAGCACATTATTTGAAATAATTAAGTTTTTGTTTTAACGAAACATTTTTTAGCCGCAATTTTTTTCTTGTCATATGAAACATCTAAATCTTCATTAAAGTCATTAATCTCTACAAAATATGAGCCGATTGTTCATATGATGTCCGCATCGGTTGGTGAAGTGGTAGGTATATTGTCGTCTATTTTTTAAAGTTGTTCAGTAGTCAAGTATTTTTACAAACAAATAGACCGCTTGTTTAGTCCGAGTGCCGGTTGAAGTGATTAAACAGAGAGCACAGGCGTCTCAGGGTTTAATTGGTGGTCAACAACGACCTCAAACTAGTGGCCAAATTTTTCGACAAACCATCTCACGAGAAGGCTTTAGAGGACTATATCGCGGCTATTTGAGTACAATAGTTCGCGAAATACCGTTTTCATTGATACAGTTCCCGGTTTGGGAGTATCTTAAGAAACGATGGATAGCACACCAAAATCATCAACCGTTGAACGCCATTCAGTCGACAGTTTGCGGAGCTGTTGCCGGCGGTTGCTCTGCACTATTGACTACTCCACTGGATTTGGCCAAAACACGCATAATGTTAGCCGAAACTGGTGCCGCATTTTCGATACGCGATATTGCAATTGTCCTCAAAATGATTTATACGCAAAACGGTGTTTTCGGGTAATAGTTGATTGAATTAAAAATGAATTTTGAAAATTATTAAATTACTTATTTAAAAAATATATTTCCAGTTTATTTACTGGTGCTGTTCCCCGAGTGGTTCATATATCCATTGGTGGTGCCATATTCCTCGGTGGTTACGATATTATCTCAAATTTTTTGCATAGTTTATAGTAATAAATTTTATATAAAAAAACTATTTTTACCGCTAGATATCAATATTTTTGTAGTGATATTTATAAAATAACTTTTTTTAAATCATATATATATTATAAAAATTTCTACTGTAATATAGATTGATCAAGTTTATTAAACAAAAATACTATAATTAAATTTAATTAATAATTTTAAATAATTTTTAAATTTAAATAAATTTATTAATATTACTGTATATAAAATAAAAAGTTTATAACGAGTTATTCATATATAACGTTATAAAATGTTTTTTTTGTTGACATTTAAGTCGTGTGTGAATCACATGTTTGTGACATTTGTTTTGAATTTTAATATAAATTAATTGTTTAATCAATTGATTGTTTTATTGAATGAATTTAACGCAAGACTTTGAAGAGTACGATGAAGTGGACACCAGTGATGACGACTGCGGCGGACAATTAGATCGTATACTTGTACCGAAACTGCCGGTCGCACAGTTCGACGACTACGATCCGAATCGGCCGCCGGTTACCGGCGCGGAATATCTTAGACGGGTTCAGTCAGTAACCGATTAATTGGTCTTTCAATTGATTTGGATATTGTTTGAGATGATAATTGTTGTTATTTTTGTTGCCATAGATTAGAAGCACAAAAGTGTCCCGAAGTAGTCGTAGCGGACATGGATTTAAGTCGGTTTAAATCTAATCAAACTCTTGTCTATGAAGACGTATGTATTGATGACAACACAGAGTTTTCATATGACTTGTGATAATCTTTTATTTTATTTTACAGACAAACGGTTTTATTCGTCTCAAACCAGAACTGATACCACCGGTCGACTGGCAGAGAGAACAGGTGTCTGAGTTTAGTCACGTCAGGACAAGACTTGCAAAGGAAAGAGAGCACAGACTGTCCACGGGTTCAGTGGTCACACAATCCGTACCTCACAATCGACCGATGAATTGGTGGCGCGAGTTCTGTATCGGCAAAACAAGTGACAACAACTCGAGTGATGACTCGAGCGATGAGTCCATTTGTGATGACAAGTCGGACGTTTCGACGACGACCGACGGCACACCTAATAGTAGTTCACAATTAAAGCGAACTAAACGTCAAAAACCTGAACCCAATGTTCCACTATTGAGTACATTGTGTGGACTCACTCAGGATGAAGTGGTACGAGTGTTGAGTTATCACATCCAATGGATTCGTCAGTTCAAATTTACACAACATATGGGTCTATGGATCTACTCATTGCTTGTCTGTCTCGACAAACCACTTCCAGCCGATGTTTACTCTACTTTACGTGACTTAAGTCGTGTATGCAGTGAATGCCGACAACGGTGTCGATCGACTTCGGATGACTGCACTGAGTGGTGGGCTTTGAATCTAATTATTTGTTTAATCGGTGGCTATTTTGATCAAACAGATATGTGTGATCAGTGACAGTCGTGATGTCATTATTTAGTTTAATTAAATACATTATGAATTCAATTTAACTTAATTTTTATTAGTTGTCTAAACCAATAAAGTTTGAATTATTTTATATAATTTAATTATATATTTTTTACATTACCGTCTGTACGCGCATATAGCCCCACTCATATGGCATAAAGGTCTATATTGTAAAACTATGGGGCAATATATGAGTTACACCCCCTACCAAAAGTTTGATTTAATTTGTCGTTTGTTTTAAGAGTCTTCCTAATCCTAATTTATTGATATTAACGTATTTTTATACAATAATTACAAGTAATTAGCAACAACAAAAAAATTACAAACACTTTGGATAATAAATTACATAAATTTTTACAACAAAATACATCAAATTATGTAAAAAGTTTTATTGAAAAATAATTGCTAATTAATAGCTAAAAAACGTCTAGTTTGTTGGAAAAATTTTTCCACCAATGCCACCTAGGTAATTTTTTGTGCAGGAGATGTTTGTGTGAAGTATTTTGTAAAAATATCACAACTAATAAACTATATTATCTAATGTAATAATAAATGATTTAAATATTCAACTATTTTATAAAATTTATGAGTTTATACATAGCTTACATATAAAATTTAATAATAAATTATGATTATATTGATAGATATAGAAGGATAAGAATGACCCAGTACATTTTATAGTTGGATAACTACTTTATGTAATTCTACTTTTTAAAAAATTTTAACTTTAAAAAAATGTTAGCAACAGTTATTTGAATACTTAAAGCGGTTGCCTATACCTGTATATTATTTATTACAACTTTAACATAACATATTGAAGATTTTTGTATTTTAATTTAATAAACTTTATTAATATATATCCACAACAAAAACATAATAAATAGTTAGTTAATTCAAAATAAATAGTTTACAAAATATAGTAAATAAATAACGGTTAACTTTTTTTTTTTTAAATTCATCATGATAATATTTATTTTTAATTACATACAATAACTATAAAACTTTGAATTAATAAAATTAATAATAAATTTATATTGTTTTTTAGCCTATAATTAAGTTATAAGATTTTCATATTTTATTATTTCTATTATAAACTAATCTAATAATAAGTTATTAATTTATTGCATTTATTATAATCTAAACGACAGTCAAATACAAACACATGTGTTTGTGTTGTCTATAGATAGTTGTTATGCAATGCATTGATTGACAATAACAACAATTCAATCAATTGTTTTCTATTCAATTGATATTATTATCATATTTTCAATCAATTAATTATTTCAATTGAATGGTAAGTAATTGTATAAACAGTTGTTTTTATTATATTATTTAATAAAATCAATTGATTTTGTCGTCAATTTAGTTGTTATCACCTACTAATTGATCCGTCAGTTTCAACATTTTTGGCCACTTTTCTGACCATTAAATGTCTTATTGTTTTTCACGTTTGTCTCAAATTTGCGAGTTTAAGATAAACCAACTGAAAATATCTACATTTAACCGATTGTTATCATCAACGATGTCCGCAATTAAGCGCAAACACGACGACGACGACGACAACAGCAACAAACCGGCAGATGAATTGGTGCCGATTACTGACCAGAAAACTAATTCAGATGTAAGTCATATCTGATAATAACAGACCAATTATGGTGATAGTTGTCTACTATAGTGATACCAATAATAACTTATGAACGATAAAATTGTAGACAAAACGCAAAAGATTGCAATTACCCGAGTATTCATTGGACGATTCGGACTATTATGTGGATAATGGCTTACGAAAGGTATATCCGTATCCGTTTACCTACTATTCCCATTGTAAGGGACGTTGGATGGGACAGGAGTTGTACTCATTTTATTCAAAAGAGTTCAGAGGACTGACATCCGAACAACTGGTATGTGTGTCGTGTCTTCAGTTTTTAAAATAAGTAATATTTTTATATTGAATTTTAAAGAAAAAGCGTATAGAAGACGGACTTCTTCAAGTAAACTATCAAAAAGTTGATCTCAATTATCGACTTAAAGGTCACGACCTATTGACACATAGACTACACCGACACGAGTTACCGGTACTATCAGCGCCCATACCTATTATTCACTCGTCAGATGAAATGCTTGTTGTGGACAAACCGCCATCTATTCCAGTTAGTCACTCATATATGTCTTAAAATTATTGAATAATTGATTGTAATGTATCATCACTTAACCCACAGATTCATCCGTGCGGTAAATACCGACACAACACAGTAATGCATATTTTGGCCAAAGAGCACAAACTAACCGATTTATACAGTAAGTTGCGATTTAATGATAATTATGTTTTACGATTTTATTGACCTTTTTTACGATTTTTATAAACCATTTAATGATAACAGATATTCATCGGTTGGATCGCTTGACTTCAGGTGTTTTATTGATAGCTAAGACAACAGCCATCGCTCAGAAACTTCATCAACAAATTAGAGATCTTGTACTCGAAAAACAATACGTCTGTCGAGTGGAGGGAAAGTTTCCTGAGTTAGTCATTGAAACTTTCAAAACCATTGAATTGATATTTTAATATTAAATATTTGTTTTCTAAAGCGGTGTCATAACATGTGAACAACCACTGGAAACACTGTCCCATAAGATAGGCATTTGTATTGTAGATCCGACGGGAAAGCCGAGTATTACAACATTTGAAAGACTTAACTATAACGGCAAGAGTAGTACAGTGTTATGTAAACCAAAAACTGGTCGAATGCATCAAATTCGGGTTCATTTACAATACTTAGGACATCCCATTCTTAACGACTCTTTTTATAATAACCTTGTTTTTGGTCCTCAAAAAGGCAAAGATGGACAATACGACAAAACTAGAGATAAGGTTATTATACTTTTTATTTGATTACAAAATATATGATTTAAATATTTTATCTACAGTTGATTGAAGACATTGATGCTCAACATCAACGCATACTTTATCTCTTAACATCACCGACTGTTCAATTATCACCCGAAGAACAAGCAGAGAGTGATCGCAAACGAGATATTGCATTGAAAGCGCTTAAACATTACACGGATAGAGAAGAGTGGAAAGTGTTGACTGAAAAGTATTAAAAAAATAACATTTTGTTGTTTCTGAATATTATTGTATTAATGATAATTTTTTTTTAGTTATAAACCAAAGCCTGAGCTTTTAGTCGACGATCCCGATTGTGATGAATGTATAAACAAAACAATTGATACCAATCCTAAAGATTTGCTAATATATTTACATGCATTTTGTTATAAAGTAAATATTATTTAAAATTATTTGTTTGTTACAATATTTTAGATAAATTCCGGATATTTATTGTAAATAATTGACTTAATTTTAATTTATATTAAACATTGAATTAGGGTCCCGATTGGGAATATAAGACAGCACTTCCCGTTTGGGCACAGGACGACTGGGATTATGATTAATATTAGATTTTGTTGTAAATAATTTGAATCATTTTTTTAATATACCAAACATAATAATTATTGTTTTAAATTATTTATAAATAAAATTAAGATTTTTGTCATACAAATTGTAAATCGCGCGAATAAATATTGATAATATTGATAATAATAACAGCTGCAGACTAAATGCTTATTCAGGCCTTAAATTATACATAATATTATTCTTACAGTAAGTTATCGTTAAAATAGATGAATATTTTTTGATTAAAAATTATATTATGTAATAAGCAAATAAAAAGCTCATAATTGTATATATCTAAATATCTGATATTAAATATCTAAACAATTAAGATAATTAACTAATAATATTATCATGAATTTATAGCATGCATTTAATCAACAGCTTTGATGTGCTGTAATAATAATGTAATATTTGTTAACCAATGATTGAACGACACATTCAGTTACGTTATTATATTACCTGTATATACCGGTAATTTAATTTAATATTTCATAAGTTAGTTCAACTTTTTTTTTAATTAACTGTAATTAAATTTTTGTGTGAAAATTTTAACCGAAAAAATGCCACAATTGGCCAAAAAAGTTGCCGCTTTTGCCGCAGTGGACAATCATGTAAAGGTAACTCGAGTTTCAATTACAATCCATTGATTTATATATATATATATATATATATATTGTTAAATTAAATTTAAGAATGGATTCCGTGTGGGAATCGGTAGCGGAACTACTATTGTCTTCGCTGTCGAACGGATCCGTGAACTGAACCTCAAAGATGTCATATGTGTTCCCGTCTGTCAACAGGTTTTTAATTCAATTTAAACACTAAAATAGTTTAAGAAATTATTATAAAAATTATTTCTCCCCAACAGTCACGACAAGTGATTTTAGACAACAGCCTAAAATTGGCCGAATTCCAGGACATTGCCGAACTCGATGTCTTCATCGATGGCTTTGATGAAGTTGATGTTCACACAAGAACTGTAATATTCGGTACCTGTACACTGGTAACGGCAGTCAAGATTTTTGCAGCCGCTGCTAAACATGTTGTCTTTGTCGGTGACCAAACTAAAAGATCGGAAAAATTGGGACAAACTTTTAAAGTAGGAATTCCTGTTGAAGTGATTCCTTTAGCTCACAAACAGGTGATTAAACAAATTGAGAGTCAATTTAAAGGAAAAGCTCTATTAAGAAAATCTGATAATGATTTGAAACCGACGACTACATTGTCGTTCAACAACTATATCATTGATTGGCAATTCCCGGATGACATCAAAAATGATAACTTTTTAGATATCTATAATAAAGTAAAAGCTATGGCCGGTAGCATTGAGATGGGTCTAGTGTTTGACGCCACTACCGATATGACTATCTATATGGGCGCTACCGATGGCACACTAATTCGTGTTTGAACATCAATATAATCGTTATGTTTATAAAATTGTGGATCAACTACAAGAATATTGTTTTTATTTATTTTATAATAATTTTCTGACTTAAATAAAATTTGAATATAAATATTATTTACATGAAATCTACTGAAAAATTAAACACATAATCAAAAGGTAACAAATGATTAGTCTTTTTTAATCAACGACTGTATCGACTCTTTGGCTCTTTTGAAGATTTTTTTGTCAGTTCGCTGGTCTTCGGGAACTATCAAATGTGTGATAAATGTGTAAATTAAAAAAATTTAGATCTCATATATAATCGGCAATTTAGTTGACCAAAATGTCAACTTTAAATACCGTAGTCTTGTAATCGATACCAGGCATATATGAAACCAGAAAAACCGGCCAAAAATATCCAACCGGAGCCGATACGAATGGCCACTGGAATACAACGGTATTATAAATAACAATGACAAAAAAGTGAAACAATTGATTAACAAATTTTCGGAGATTTTCGGAAACTGTTGACCAAAAAAAAACTTACTTTTTTAAACAATTGTTTATCGGGTCTTATAATTGATAATCAAATCAAATGTCAAATAAGTTTTATTCAAACAAAAAAAAGTTTTTCATTCAAAATCAATCAGTTATTAGTCGACCGACAAACACATTGAAACACGTGTTGTCATAACAACAGTGACAACAAACTGACAAACATATTGTTTGTTTACATTTTGGTGTTTTTGTCGGTCGTAGACAACAACAACATCTATGAAACACTCAATGAATCGATAATATGTAAGACTCCCGTCGGGTGTGTTGTATGGCCATCACTATTCTGACTGACTGACTAACCAGTGTGTGTGTGTGACGGCCGCAATGCGATTGTTTCGTATGATCGGCTTTTACGTGGCCGTCGCCAAAGGCATACTTCATCTCTTAATATATCTGTCAAAAAAGTGCCGCAAACTGTTGGTCGCCGTACTTGCGGCCATCGTTGCCGTCTACATATTGTTCGGCTTCTGGTTGGCCACATTGTCCACTATAACTGGTCTGGTGTATGTCGTATATAATTTTTGCGATTATCTTCTCTATAATCCAAACGATCCGCTGGACAGTCGGACAAATATTATGAGTCCCGTGTCGTACAACTTATCGTTTGAATCGTTGTTTATTACCACTGAAGACAAGGTCCGCATCAATGCTGTTCTTATCAAACGACCCGACAATGAGTACGACAAGTGTCCTACAATGATATACTTTCACGGAAACGCCGGAAACATTGGTCACAGATTGCAAAACTGTTACGAACTGTATCATGAAATCGGATGTAATATACTGTTAGTTGAATACCGCGGTTACGGTCTCAGCAATGGATATCCGTCAGAGAGTGGTCTCTATAAGGATGCCGTTGCAGCGCTTGACTATCTACTTGAACGGCCAGATATTGATCAAAATAAAATCGTTGTGTTTGGCCGCTCATTAGGCGCTGCAGTTGCCATCGATTTGGCTAAAAACGGGAAACACTGTCAAAATATTGCCGCCATTATCATTGAAAATACGTTTACGAGTCTTCCAGACATTGCTCGGACACTATTCAACTGTCGACTAATACGAATGATACCGAATTGGTTCTACAAAAATCAGTACAACTCATTGATGAAGATCTCATCGGTGGTCATTCCCTGTCTATTCGTATCGGGTCTTAACGACGAATTGGTCCCCTCGTCAATGATGACCTCTTTATTCACACTGTGCTCGAGTCAGGAGAAAGAATTACACCGTTTGGACGGTACACACAACTTCACGTGGAGGTGTCCCAACTATTACGCTATTTTGCGGACATTTCTGGCAAAAATAATGCCCGAACACAAAGTTATGATCGCGGCTAACACCACCACCACTACTAGCAACTCTGCCACAATTGGTTATCAACATACTATGAATTATACAAATTTAATGGTAACTAATGTTCATCAACTGCCACAACCGTTATCAGCACATCAGTCATTATCTCCAGAACAACGACAACCATCGAATCAGACGCTCATCTCTTTTGATGACAACGATTGCAAATCGTTTGCCGATCACAATACTATTGAAATTTAATAATTATTATTATTATTGTATTTTACTTAATTAAATTATTTTTGGTTTTTTTGTTGTTGTTTTGGTTACTGTTGTATTGTGTTGATAGATATATGTTGTATTTATCTTATATTAATAGTAATGATATTTTTAAATTGTATATTAATTTGTACTCAAATCGATTTTAATTATATGATTTTATTCTCAAAAAAACTACTAATTTGTATTCATATTAATTGAATATTGAATTAATTTTTATATAAATCCCGGTTAGAGCTCAATGTAAAAGTTATACTAATGTAATTAAATATACTGTATGTAAATTATTATAAATTTTAGTGTATAATTATTATTATATAATATAATTGTTAATCTCTTGTATAATAATAATAATAATAATAAATATTTTTAACACAAACTAAAGTAAATGACTATTTTTATAAATTAAATTGTATATAAAATATTATATAAAGTAAACATTTTTATTATTTTGATAACAATTATTGGCTTATCTCTAAAAATTAAACTGTTAGGGCAACCAAATACATGGGAGACTGTCATGTTTGATATACAAACAGATAATTGAACCGTCAGGTCATAGGACTATTTGGATTTTAAATGTATTTATTTGTTTGTTTCAGATTTATGTATCGGTGTATACAGTACTAAATAGATATGAGATTAATAAAAATAACAAATCAAGATATTTATAAAAATTATATAAAATTGTTGCCAAAAGTTAATAATTTTATCTAAAAATATAAAATTATCTTAATAAAAAAAATTAATAATATAGTGTATTATTAGTAATAGTTTCAAAAATTTTAACTGCATTTAGTGCAATTATATTAAAGTACAAATTATTATAAATTATATTTTTTAATTTTATAATAATTTAACAAAACAATAGTTACCGAAATCATGAGTCAAAACAATTGGCAAAAAAAGTTTGTTATCAGAGACTCGACGCTAACGTAAGAATATTAATCATTATAATAATACATAATTTATTAATAATATTTAATAATAATTATTATAATTTTTGTTTTATAATTAATTGTAATTTTCTGAAAAAAATTATTTAATTGATAGTGAATTATTTGGTCGGATTCAAGATATGAGATCAGCTTATAATCTTATATCTGCCATTTTTACACTCATTTTTGCCACAACTTTATTACATTATGTGATTGATAACAATGAGTAAGAAGTCTTTTAAACAAATAAAAATATTTGTCATCAAATCATCAAAAAAAAGTTGTCATTAAAATTACTCTTTAAAAATATCCATTTTAACAGATTATACGCTGACCTCCGATGGCTTAACTGGTGTTTCAGTAATAATAAGTTTCATTTATTGGCTTTTGCTTGGCTTAAGATGCAGATGAGTGCTGTATTGATCTTATATCCAGTATTAAGAATATGGTTGTGGATAAAGGCTAACAAAAAGATCAGCTCAGGTATGTCATCGAAAAATTATGTAACGGTATTACCGATAAATAACATTTGATTAACAAATCGTTGTTAAATAATTTTGTATTTTTGTTCACTACACAGATATTCATACAATAATTTTAGTATTAATTTCACTGTTATATCAATCATTTTTATTCATCTATGGCTACAAATTTGTTCAGAAAAATTCATTTTCATGTGTTTGTCGATTTGCTTTGCTTATTGAACAAGTAATGTCTTTAAAAATTTAATCAATCATTTTTAATTGTAAAATTTTGACTATTTATACTGTAATATATTTGTTAATATTTTATCATTAATAACATTTAATTGTATAATTTTATTTATTAGGTGAGATTATCAATGAAATCGCATTCATTTATTATTGAAAATAGATTCAGAAATATTGAATACGGCAAAGGTTTTTATAATAATATTATTATTATTATTATTAAAACAGATAATAATATATTTAAATATAACATAATTTACTTGAATAGATAAAACTAGTCGTGAAGCGCCCACATTATCACAGTTGCTTTACTTTTTGATAGCACCTACACTATTATATCGGGATAACTATGCCAGGTATGAGATAGTACAGTAAATTTTGGATAATTTTTTGTAATCAATTTTTTTGACCCTTTTTATAGGACCAGTAAAATTCGGTGGCGTTTTGTTTTCTGGTACTTTTTCCAGGTTTTTCTCATCATATTTGCTATGTTTGCCATTAGCTGGCGATTTGTTGAACATTATTTCAAATGGACGGGTGTTAAACCGTTTGAAACAAAACAGTTGATTTACATTTATTTGATGGCATCGTTGGTCGGCATTCAATTGAAACTACTGTTATTTTATGGTATGTTGCACTGTTGGCTCAACGGTTTTGCCGAAATGTTGCGCTTCGGTGACCGAAATTTCTACAATGATTGGTGGAATTGTACCGATTTTGTCACATTTTATCGCAAGTGGAACGGTGTGGTCCACGAGTGGCTCCGGGAGTATATTTTTAAGCCAACCCTATATGTAATTGTTTTGATAAATGTCTTAATTATTATTATTATTTTATTTTTATAATATATAATTTGTTTGTCTGGATAACTATAGTTAACATCGGGTAATAAGGGTGTGTCGGCACTGACTGTATTTTTGGTGTCGGCTATTATTCACGAATATATATTGAGCGTATCATTTGGTTTTTTTCTACCGGTGCTTTTCTGTTCATTTTTTATAATAGGAGGTAATTATGTGACAATTATAAGTTTATAATTTATAACTGACTATTGTTTACCACTGAATGTTTAGATTATAATCTATAATACACAAAACAACAAAATATTGATAATAGCTATTATTATAACATTTTTCTAACTCAACAAACATTAATTTATACCTAATTTTATTAAAAAAAATACAGTATATTTCTCGTATATTCTCTAAATATTAAGCAACTGTTGGCAACTGTGCCATTGAAAAATAGTTTTATTGAAATTTAATTCAAACAAAACATTAACTTTTTTCAATAACATAAATATTTATGACTATTTAATTTTATTGCTTACATAATTGAAATTATTATTATTATCTCATTTTGATTTGATTTCATATGTATTGCTATTATTTTACATTCAATATAGTAATGCTATTTTTCATCGGAAAAATCAAGTTCAAGGTTTCGCAAAACAAGAGATCTGCAAAAACAGATTCACCGAAACATAACTCATCCGTCAAACAACAACAACAAGAAACTAATGACAACTCATTTTCATTGGGAAATATGCTTATGTTTATGAGTTTGTGTCTGGGATGGGGTTTAATGTTAATGTTGTATAGTATGGAATCGTATTCAAGAATCAACTGTCCCTCCAATGATGTAATAATGCATTTTAAAAATATTTATTATATAATTATTATAATAGCACTTAAAAACACTTGTTTAATGTATTAATCATTTGTTTTTTTCAATTTCTACCCCTCTATAGACATCCCTTTCCAGTTATCTATGGCCACGTTTCTTGAGTTGTGTAATCATTAATTAATGATTTAAATTATAATGATTTACACTGCCATTCAAAACAAATATTTTTAATGAAATACTCATTTTTATTGAATCTACAAATTATTATGAATTATAATATTATTATTTTTTTAATAATTTTTAAAACAAAATAAATAAAATTTCTGCTTAAATATTACAATTAGATTTCATCAATACGTTTGTACTTTTTTTTAATGAATGGCAGGACTTATAGTATCTGTGGTATAGTATCCGATACATACACAGAATATTCAATCGACTAATTAAACAATAAAAAACTGGTTGTCCTTCACGTTTGACTAAAAATAAAAAAAAATTCCCTTAAAATTCAATGATTATTTGCATTTTGATTAGTCGGAAAATAAATTAATACATGTACTTAACTTTTTTATATATAGATTATATTTATGTTATGAATTTATTATTATGTATTATAACTTATTTTTTTACACAAACAATTCACAATACTTCAAAAACATCTATTACTATAACATATTTGTTAAATCTATTATAAAAAATATAGTCACTAAGGAAATAAATAGACGAAACTTTTAAATATTATTATAATAATATTATCAATAATTTTTATGACATTTAATGACAGGAAATATGCGCTAATATTGAATGAATATTTAAAATTAATAGATGTCTGTATTTAATGAACAGAAAATTTTTTATGATTTTTTTGTTTGTTTGTTTGTTTGATAAAAATAATTTATTGTTAAATTTATAAATAATTATTTTTTTTAAATATAGTAATTGTTTAGTTAAATTATGTTTACTCATAAAAGCCTCGCTTAACTTTTGATAGTTTATTAATAAAGTGTATTACATTGAAAAAAGGACAGGGAGTGTAACACCAGATAAATTAAGTTTGAAACTATTGCCAGTTTGTAATATAATAATATATTATTATTTATCAATTTATATTGAAGGTATTAGTCATATCAATAATTTTAAAAATATTATTATTATTAAATTTTATTTATAACTTAATTTATACTGTAATTTATAACTTTTTGTATTACATGTGTTTCTAAGTTGACAAAACTATAATTTATATTCATATTTTTTTTATACATTTTATATCATTATTCATATGTTTTGCATGTTTATCGAGAAATTTAACAAAATTAATTAATTTTCATAAAAGTTTTGTCAACATTTGTAACATCTGAATACCTATAACTTTATATAAAACTTATTAATATTACTAATGATATTATTTTTTGTTTAATCTTCTATTTATGGAAAAAAAGTTTATAAATTTAATGTCAAACTAATAATTGGAAATTAGTTTTAACGATCAAAAGTTTCATTCAATACGAACTATAAAACTGCGTTTAAGTTATTTTGTTATATAATACTATAGAGTTTAGATTGAAGTTAAAAAATGCATTACTTTGTGGCCATAATTACCATAATTGTGATCTCGTGCGGCATATGCTCGTCAAAGATCACAATTCGTACCAAAAGACAAGTGGAAAGAGAGGGCAACTTGAATGAGACGACTACTGTTATTGCCGGCGAATCGGGTCGAGAACCGAGCGATCGAGACTTTGAAGTGGTTCCAGCAAAGGATGACGACAAGACTGATGTCATGGAAGTTGATTTCGATCCAAACGACGGGACGTTTGCTTTTGGTGGCAAATTTCCGTCGTTTTTCAACCGAAACTTTAACACACACTATGATGATCTGTTCCGACAAATGACCAGAAGATTTGAAGGTTTGATTATTTATTTTTTTTGTAATATTTTACTTAAAAAAAGACATTCAATTATCAATTTTACAGAAATGTCTCGGCGTATGTTTGAACGGTTCAATGCGACCACCAGTCAGTATCCGGATAACTATAACGGAACTAAAGAAGAGATTGTTACCATCGATGGCAAACAGTATGTTAAGAAAGAGCATGTCATCAAAAAATCCGACGACAATCTTAATGTAAGTGATATCATGTTTTTATATCGAGATCTAATTATAACAGCATTTAATTTAATGTCTAAATTGTTTTATTATTGCCAGATATTCCTTACGTCAACCACCTATGAACCGGTCGATGACAAGACTAACGAAGACATATAATATGCAAATAAAAAAAATGATTAAAATTGTCATTAAATTTTGCAAATATTTTTGATTTTATTTTGCTATTTATATTTTATTGGTATTACTGTACTTAATGATCTGTTTTAGTATTATATTTCCAACATTTTAACAAATAAACTATAATTTTTATATATACATAAAATTATATGTTAAAAAGTTGTTTAGTTGATGATTACCATAAACATTGTAGAAATGTAAAAACATTTTTATTACATAATAAATTATATGGCATACTATTATATTATAAATTACCGGTACTATAGTTTACATTTGAATCTAAAATATTATTACCGATATATTTAAAAAATTTAATAATTTATAATTAAAATTTAGGAATTTGTGGTATTTTAAGCTCCCGTCTCAAGTCATCCAAGTTTTGTTCAAATCTTTTTTCATAATAGATACAAATTAGTGACCGGGCTTCGTGTCCGCACTTTAGCGCCCACGGGAGTCCAATGGTTACATAGTTTTTTCGTTGCTTCGGTGCCAGCCGTACGGCACCGAACAGACCAGCCGACCAACACATAGGAAGGTCAGTCTGTATGGCTTCAATCCATTTGACCAGAACTTCGCCCAACATATTGGTCGGCATTCCGAGCACCGCGTGAATCATGTCATGTACTTCACGATAGCGTTGCATAACATACGCCAAGTGGACGTCATCTACAAACTTGACGGGTTGTCGACTATCGGGAGTTACATTCTGGTGTATTGTTTAATTAAAATTAAAAAATTACCGAAATATTTGTTAAATTATCATATGATAAATACATTTATAGTCAACCAATTATAATATTGTCGGCCAAAAGTTCCGTCGGGCAGTGTGGCCAACCTATCAATGTCTATAGTTGTCGAGTTTATTCGTGGTTTGTCTTCCAGTATTTGTCGGCCCTCGTCATCACTCAACATCTGTTTGTGCATCTTTTGTAGCGCCAAATATCCGGTCGTTTCACCGAAAACGGCGATCATATCTGTTGTACAAATTTTTATCAATACAATTGTTAACAACTCTGGCCATCAAAGACAGTACCATCTCTGTAGGGATCAGTGATAGCGGCAATGGCCGACCCAACTGATAGCAACACTTTCTGTGTTACTGTTGTCGGGATATGTGTGTCATATAAACTGATAATTGGTTCATCACTGCTGTCATGTTGTTGTCCATCGTATTCATCGTCAGAAGACTGATCGCTTGCATCTGAAGTTTCTGCAGTAAATGTCTGTTGTTGTTGTTGTTGGCGATGAGTGCCATAAAAGCGATCAAACGATGGCCTCCGACAACACATTGCGGACACATGTCTGGCAATCATCGGTTGCCGATAATTACCGGAAATCCATGGCATCAGTCTTGATATCAATTGTTTGGACGACATCTGTCTGTAACTCTGCAGAAGACGCCAAACAAAAACAAACAAAAGAAAAGTTTATTTTTTCAGATAAAATGTTTGATAAAAACAAATGAAAACATTTGAAAAACTAGAGTCAAACAATTGAACCCGAAATTTACAGACAGAGACCCAAACCGTGGTCAAGTATGCGGGTATTTTTCAAATGTTACCATGGTACAATTTATTTGGTATTATATTAATAAATAAAAATAATGTCTTTTACTAATTATAAAATAATTTTTAGTTTATTAAAGATATTATTATGATTTTGATCTATCAATAGTTAAAAAAATACCCGAACCTAAACCCGATTTCAGGATTCCCGAGACTAGACTACTATTGTAAGCAATTAATACATTAAAAAAATAAATTTACATTTTATTTGTCTCTAAAATCAAATCAAAACAAACAGTAAATGCTATGAAAGATAACAATAAAATCAATTTTTTTATTGTTTTAATGTAAACATAAAAAACACTTAAAACTAATTGTGAATAAAATGTCTTTTCATTTAAACTGTATATTAATATTATGATTGCATAACATTTTGTGATAAACATAAACAAAACAAACAGTTTTTAGCGCTGATATTATTGACAACTAAAATGATAGACAAAAAAGTAGTCAATAAATAAATAATATGAAAATTATTTCATTCATAACATATTATTGGGTAATAATTGTATTGTAATGAGTGATGCAATCTATGGGATCACTGGATCTCTATTTACTAATGCATTCAATCAAATGCTATGTCTATTATAGGGACTGACAGTCAGTCAGACTCTCACTCTCTCTCTCTCTCTCTCTCTCTCTCTCTCTCTCTATGTGTTGACGTTTAGAGAGAGGCTGTTGTTGTGTTTGGTGTCAAACAAGTGATTGACATAACAAACACTGTTTTTTTATTAATCATTTTGTTTTTATATACAATAAATATATGAATATTAAACAATACAATCATTTATTATTATTATTATTATTATTATTATTAATAGTTATATAGATTAGAGAAACAAACAATGAGTTCATAAAATCAAATGTTCATTGAATTCAATGATTTTTTTTAAAAAACCATTTCATCGATTAATTAGTAGTAGTTTTTTGAGGAAAATATATTATTAATACAATAATTAGTATTATTTTTATTATATTTACAAAAATGATTTCATTTATTATATTGTGTTTTGTTTGACATTTGTTTTTGCCATTGAAAGTGATTATATCCGCTACTTATGGTTTGTGTTGTTCGGCCGCCTATAAAACTGGTCATTCATTAAGTCATTCAACTATATCTTACAGATGGACTTCAGCGCCAAGAGTCTGAAAGGTCTGGTCTCAGATGTGGGCACTGTCTTCACCAGAGCTAAACAGGTTTGTCAATACAATATATATTTTTTGTATTAACCATTAAATTAATTGATGATATGTTTGTCACCGAAATGGACAGTACGCTGAAGAGACTATAGGAACGGCCGAGAAGACCGAATTGGACGCCCAGTTTGAGAGTTTAGCCGATAGAGCCGATCGCACCAAACTGTGGACAGAGAGGATAGTATCGAAAACGGAGGCAGTATTACAGCCAAATCCAAGTATATATTTTACTACTGACTAGTCTGTGACTTAACGGTTCCCGAGAAAAAAGTAATCAGTTTTTTATTTCCAAATCACATAAATAATAAATGATTGGGATTTTACGGGAAACCACTCGTTAAGATCACTTCACAATTTCTGTAGATTAGTTAACTTAGAGATGGCATGTATTTCTGCCTGATTTTTATTATAGATACTCGTTATGGAGACATGATTTTTGACAAAATAGGTCCCTTAAAGGGTGAACGGACACGCAATCTTGAGGCTCTCGGCACTGATATGATCGATGCCGGAGTCGAGTACGGTCCGGGAACTGTTTATGGCAGTGCTCTCATCAAAGTTGGTAAAGCACAGCAAAGTTTAGGCGGAACCGAACGCGAGTTTGTGGCCAATTCTGACCGCAATTTTGTTCAACCGTTGCGAAAGTTTTTAGACGAAGACATGAGAACAATCACTGTAGACATTATACGATCTTAATCTTAATTGTTCACTAATTGAAGTCTTATTTGTTTGTCTGTTGTTTTGCTTTGAATTTAATAGAAAGAGCGAAAGATTTTGGAGACCAAACGGTTAGACTTAGACGCGGCTAAAAACCGTCTGAGAAAAGCCAAAACTCTTGAGTCGCAGACTAATGTGAGTCACATTTAATGGCATATTTGAGATATTAATATATAATTTATAATTTAAAAGTTATGATCAGATTTATCATAATTATATGTATTTGATAACTAAATTAGTTTAATTATTATCTGATTTTAATACAGCTATTGGATATCTTTTTTTTTATAAAAAAATATCAATACTTTTCATTCAAAATTTTTTAACTTTTTAAAAATATATCTATAAATCTAACAAATGGTTTACTATTACTTGTTTTCCTTTCTTTAACAATATTGTGCTTAAAGTCAAAGCTTAAGCCAGAAATGATTGCTAAGGAGATCGATCAGGTATTTAACATCTATTATACTGAACGATAAAATTAGTTTAATTTATTTCATTTGTTTGCCAAATATAATGTTTGATTTGTTTTGATTGTATATTTTTGACAAATATTTTTTTAGTTTGTTTTATAAAATTTAAGATAAAAAATTTAAAGAAATTGGGAATTTTTATCTTATTTTTCTTTATTTCTTTAATAAATGTGATAATAGGCCGAACATGAGCTCAGGTTAGCTCAAGAAGACTTTGATCGGCAAATAGAGATAACACGGCTTTTACTGGAAGGTATCAGTGCTGCACATGTAAGTCATAAATTGATTGATAAGTTTTATAACGTAATAATTGATTTTATATTTTGTCGTTTTCCATAATATTTCCCAATTGATCCAACCATTTGATTAATTCAAGTCAAATCACGTGCGCTGTCTCAATGACTTTGTGACGGCACAGATAGCATTTTATGCCCGATGCAATCAACACATGTGTGATCTTCAGCGTGAACTACAGTCGCCCGGTTCAGCACTATCTAGTATTAGAGGACAAGTCAATGATTTGACCTCACCATCCGATGAAATCAAACCGAGTTTACCGCTCGGGAAACGTTATGCAAAAGGTATTGTCGATTGTTTTTAATTGGCGTCAAATACTTTTCATCAATGATTGTCTATTTTTTAATGCGAGTCTTAGCTCTATATGATTACGAATCGAAGGACAGCTCAGAACTGTCACTAATGGCTAATGAAGTGATAATTGTTTCGCATTCATCTAATTTAGACACTGATGTCATGATTGGTGAAAGAGGTTTTCAGCTAATCATTAATTAATTCAGTTATTTATTATTATTACGGAATATCCATTTGATTAACTAATTTTGATTATGACATACAGGTTCCCAAACGGGAAAGGTACCACTGGCCTATCTTGAGATTCTCAACTAATTTTTAAGCATCACTTTTAGCTTATTTTTTAAACATCAGCTAATTATCAACTACTATAAAATATCAATTTATATATTGTATATTATATTTGTGGCAATTTTTTGAAACTAATCTTAATTAATTGAGATTTTTTAAATCAATTTCATTACTAGTTTATAATTTTTTTATATTAGTTTAATTCAAATTATAAATATATTAAATAATATTGAATATTACGGTTATATAAATTGAATGGGTTTAACATACCTTAACATTCATAAATATATCATAAATATTTGAAAATATATTGAAAAATAATTATAAATCTAATCAATTAATAAATTTAATGTTTTTAATCATAAATGTATTATTAAATACTGTTTTAAATGTATTGTCGGTTTTAATGATAAATGAAAATTTTAAATGAAAATATCGATAAATCATTGAATCAATTGGTATTAGTATCCATATCGTCGTCATCTTCCTCTTCGACCACCTGTTGTTGCGATGTTTTGTTATCATTTCGTTGATTATTGACATCACTTTTGCCGGGAATGTAACCCGATTTCAACAATTGGTTCAACCGTTCAATCTCTTCAAGTGTCTGCGCCTTAGCGATAGCAGCTTTAATGGCCTCTACATCGGCTGCCGTGTGTACGGGTCGAGTTGACTCTTTAGTGGCGATTTGCTCGTCACCACCGCCCGGTACAAACGTCTTGGATTTGACACCGATCTCTGACTCCAATTTACGGCCTTTGTCTCCTTTAAACAATTGTTTGGCCTCATCGCGTTCCCGAAGTTTAACTTTACGAAAGTCCAACAGTCGTACGGTCGGCAGCTTATGAATTACGTATAATCGGTAATGTTTTTTGGTGGTCACCGGATTGTTCAGTAGTGACAATGTGGTCAGTTTATCGCATTTGGCCAATGGCTCGATGTCGCCTAACTCTTGCATGTGATTGCCGGTCAGTATCAGTGACTCTAAGTGTGGCAACGATTCGTGCAATGAATCGCCGATACGACTGATCCGGTTGTTATTAAGCAACAGCGTCTTCAGTCGATTCAATAGAGGAAATCCATCCAATTTGCGGATATCGTTGTCGGAGAAGTCAATACTGTCAAACTGGTCCAGCGTTGCGCCCAAGTTCTCGATGACCGTCACTTTGTAGGCCCGAAGATCCAGTTCGCGATCTCTGGTCGCGCGGTTTATATACTGATAGCCGCTTTCGATCAGTTCGGGCGTCAACTTCATGGTTACGGAATTTCAATCACTACTGGTTTACCGACAAAAGTTTCTGACTAACAATATCTGGTCACTTCTTTTGCCGATAAAATATAGAAACCTTTTTTAGTCAACAATAACACAAAACACAAGACATGTGTTAATCACTACTATATTGCCATCAGATGTCACACGTGTTGTCAAAATCACTAAAAAATAAATATCAAGTGATCTTTGAATTTGACTGAAAAACCTGTAGTTGACTGAAGAAGTTATTAAAATGATAATTGGTGTCCAACTTCTTTGATTGTCAAGTCATCATCACTGACATTGGTGTCTATATTTTGTTGTCAATCATTTTCATGGACTTATAGTTATTATCATTTGCAGACATCAATGCCGTCACCATTTCATTGGCTTTCGAGTGGTTCGAGTTTACAGCAGGAATGGGATAATGCGGAACAGGACCCGAGTTTGACTATCAATCACGTGCCGAGAGATTATCCCAACTATGCTATTCAACCCCATTATGATCCCGAACTACAAGAGGCCAGAGATAATATGCTGATAGCCTTAGGTTTGGTTAATCACTAAAACTAATCATATTTTATATGATATCCAAATTGATGACCACTTTTTTATTTTGATTGAATATTTCCCGGATAACAGGCGGTGCTATAGGTTTTATGTCCGGCTGTTTCGGTAGTCTATCCTTTAATATAGTTAAATACAATAGGTTTGTCTAATAATACAAATAAAAATACATGAAATGAATTGATTGATTAATTTTTTGTTTTTTTTGTGACAATCTCTGTAGATTGGGTTATACAGGAATTCATGTCTTAGAGCGCTTACCGATACCAGTGGTCAAGTGGTCAGTGTTGGGCGGAATAGCCGGTATGGCCGTTGGTTTAGTCAATGAGGGCCAACGTATGATAAGAGAAGATAAAAACCTAATTTTCAATTCAAAGATTGCTTCCTCTTGAGTGACATTTTTAATAATTTTGAAATTATAATAATAATAATAATAATTATTATTATTAGTAATTAATGATTATTAGTAATATAAAGTAATATAATATGTATTATTAAATGTCATTTTATTGATTAAATTATTTGTATATAACATTGTCTGTAAATATTATAGTTTATTACCGTATAATAAAAAGTTATTGTTATAACTTAAAAATTATGTTATAACTTATAACTAAGCCTACGTTTATAAAATATAAATATAACAAATAAGTTATGTCGGTTTTAAAAATATTGAAAAGTTTATAAGTTATATTACTATAGCAGTATTATATATGCATACAGCATTTTATACTGTATATATAAAAAATTATTTTTTTTGTATAAGTGTTTAACAAATGTCTAAGTTATTTAAGTTTAGTTTGTTTATAATATCAATAACAATAAGTGATAGACTGATCTGCAGTAGTGGTGACCAGTAGTGTAGGCCGGGTCCCGACAAACAGACTTAACACTACTTTAAACGGGATTCGGGATTAATGAGTTCGTTAGTTATTGAATGTGATTATTGCTGCGGACAACAGTTCCCGCTATTAGATCGATGACAACATATTACTTATTGTTATAATCAATAGACCCATCAATCAAATGAATCAGAAAATCGATTGATCGGTCAATTAAATCAATTGGAAAACCAATTGATGGGACAATTAACTTAATCGGGTAATCAAGTGACCGGTCAATAAAATGAATCGATTGACCACTCCATATGGTCGTCCAATACATTCATCGAGAGTAATGTTTTCAGAAATCAAAACCCGTTTGGATCGTTATTTTGTTAATATGTCTGATTCGGACATCAAATGTGTTGACAATGTTATGTTTGATTACAAAGACTCCAAAAGAATGTTTTTCGGTAATAATAATAATAATAATAATAATAATAATAATACCGAACAAACTTATTATATGCCAAACGGTAACTATTTTATCGCTCAACTGTTCAAATCGTTTAACATTTAACAAACTGTCCGCTTATGTCGGTTACCTAAATCGTTAACTCTTGACAAATACTAATCAAAGTCAACGACCGATCAGACTATCACTGTTTCCCAAATTGGCTAATGATCCGCTAGTGGCCATTGAAACGGATGACAACTGGTCATACTATTTGCATTACGGAATTCACTTTATGTTTGCCCATAGTATTGATGAAGAAAAACTACTAATTTATATGTCAATTAATACCATGGATTTGGTTCTGACTAACTATAAGTACAATCGATTGCAAAACAGACTCCCTTTTGTAACGCTGAAGACCTTATCGACAGTCGTGTCCATCGGTCGACATTCAATGATCTCATTCTGACCGCCGAACCTCAAGTTTCCCATTTTATTGACGCCAATAGAGCCGTCATTGTGGCTAATATTTCAAGAATTTCGTTCATCTTTACAAATACAAACTATTGGGTCTAAACATTACCCGTTCGGGTAATTATAGTTTACATTAATATAAGTGCTTAGAATATGTTTTCTTAAGTAATAAAAATTTTGTTTTATCTTTTTTGTGGTTTAAAATAGATTATTATTATTGTCGTTGAAAAATACTGTATTATTATTTGTAATAAAAATAAATAACTGTCAAAAAATATTATTTTTATTATTTATTTATAGATTTAATTACATAAATTGGTATTTCAACAATCATTGCTCTCATCAAATGTTCACTTTCCTTATACAATGACATTAGTTTCAATGTTGTACCATGATCAATTTTTTATTTAAAAATAGCAGATTATTAGGGAAAAATATATTTCAATTGTATTATAAATATAATGTATATTTATTATATATATTTGTAATAAATTCCTAAAATTATTATTATTTTTACGGCATTGAATGCTTATATTTATTATTTATTAAATAATTAATTTATACAATTTCATTGCTTAAATTAATTAGGAATTCAAGTTTTATTTATTAAGTTATCTAAATTTTATACTAACTTTACTATTAAATTTTACTAATATTTTAATAAATGAAATAGTTTTTAAAATTTTTATTGTTTTCTATTGAATACAATATACAGATATTAAAAATTATAACAAAAGTTATATACATTTATTATTATTATTATTATTATTATTATTATGCAATAAAAATATTGAGTTCACGAATATTATTATAATTATTAATTAATTTTTTTATGAATGTTACTATATTTTATTTATGACTAAATAAAAATAATTATATATAGTATACTATCAAACAATTAATTAATGATTTATAAGTTATGAAAATATTTAGATATTACTAACAATAGACTTCTTTGTAAAAAATATTGATATATTGCTTATTAGCTATAATTAAATTAATTTTATGACTCATTTAATAGCAATTAACAACAAACAAATAAAAATATTTTATTGACTATTATTGATATTAAATTAATTAATATATTCAATATTATCAATCAATTACATTGCGCGCCATAATATCGGATAAGTTTTCCGAAATACCCGTACAATATTACCGGTAAATAGCTTTTATTATACCATTACCGAAGTTACTGTATTTAAAAAAATAATTTATTAACATTATATTGTAGTAAATTATTTTATAACAAAAAAAATAATTTAAATATTTTTCTAATTAAATAATAGTTTTAGTTTTACACAACAAACATAGTAATAATTATAACATTACTTTAATACCCAATACCAGTACAACCAATACAGTATAGTGTTGTATATAATACCCGACAAACACACAAACAGTATGTATGGAGACCTCTATTACTCCATTATTATTATTATTATTCATTTTATAAAACATTTATACAGTAATTATAATCAAATGAGTAATGAATTGCAAACTTTATATACAATCTGTAGTTTGGTTTTCATTGATGTCATAATTAATTGACTATTAATTAGTTTTTATAATAATTATTATTTTTCAGACATAAATTCATTATTATTTGTTACAATCAATTGTCGTGTCATTGCTTTCATTCACAACTACGACAACAACAATAACAACAACAACGACGACAACAGTCAATGTGCGACACAACGACAGCAACAATAATAACCACAACAAGACTCAGACGACAATCACAAGTGTACTAAATGTCAGCACAAGTCAACGGTAGAGAAGATAATCAAAATTTGTTTCAATTTGAGGTATTAATTAATTAATAGATCCGTTAATTTGTTGGCCATCAATGTCTTAAACAGCTGTTTGTTTTGTTTTAAATTATTGTTGACAGCAAAGGCCAGCCATTGCCGCCGCTGTTGTCGATACCAATTTGGTGACACTGATGAACGCACAGACAATGGCCAACAATGGTGGAGGCGATCATCCGTTGCCACAGTCATCCATATCATCGCCGCCCCCGTACTCTACAGTTCCGGGCACTGTTCCTCTCTATATGTCCCGAACTGCTGGTCCGCCGCCGTCCTATGACGACGTTATCAATCCCGAAGGTTAGATATAAACAAATTGATATAATTTGAGTACATTGTCATAATATATGTCATTCAAACAGCCCCTCCCCCATCATACCAGTCCCTGTTTGGTCAGGTCCGAGAGGCCCGCAAGTCGGCTAACGGTGTACTGGACTTTCTACGCAAATTAATGCTTATTGTCATCGGAACTCGTGAGTCAAATAATTTATGTTTTTTAAAGACTTGTTAATAAAATGATTGTTACGGTCGACCAGTTGGCTGCACAATGATTATTGGCTTTACACTTGTGATACCATTATCTATGATAATCGTTGGCACCATCTATATGAATGACTGTCGCATCGAGAATATACCAGAATTTTTGTTCATCGGTGGTATGGTCTGGATATTCAAGAATCTGATGAACGTCTGGTCACAATGTAAGAGGTCTTCTATTGAAACGGAAGCCGAGGCAGCGCTTCGCTATAAACGACACGAATCTCTGCTCAACTGTTTTCTCTTTGGATGGTTTGTCGCCGGTATGAATGCAATTATCTCTTAAATAAGATGTTTATTTGTTTGAGCGATGATCTTATAATTTGTGAATTAAATTACCAAAAATCTAGGCTGTGTTATAGTCTACCGTTCCTATCTACCCGACTTTGAAGACAAAAATAGTGCGCGATATTGTAACCGATCGGCCTATTTGTTTGCCTTTTGGTTGGTAACGTCGACCTTCATTTTGTTTGCCACTTTCATGACCTGTCTGTGCGGACTAACAATGTCGGCCATATTTGCCAACACCAATGCGGACAACGAGCCACAGATCAATGACAATGCCTGACCCACACTAGCGTTCACACACACACTCAGTGATGACTATTCATTCAATTGAATTTTTTGTGATAATAATAAATGAATACATCTCGGAATCTGATTTATATAAAGACAAAACACATATATAAACGATGTTTTTTAAAATACATCCATTTCTCGTTTAAATCATCATTTTTTAACGAATCTTATAAACTAATGAATATTAATTGGATTATAAAAAAAAACATTTCATCATTTTTCAATTTTTTTTATTTTAATTGTATTTTTAAGTACTTGTATAGACATTTGACATTGAATTACAAATGAATTATCTTTGAATTTGAATTGTTTTTGTTTCTATCGATTAAAAACAAGAAACAACTTTACTTTTTATGAAAAACTCATTATTAATAATTTTGAACATTAATTGAAAGTTTTATTTATAATTACACTAATAATAACTTAATTATATCTATTTTTTTAAATATTACAAAAATAATTATAAAAAATATGTTACATTAAACTTATTATTACAATACATTATAAATATATATATATATATCTAAATTTAATCATTGTATTTACAACAAAAACTAGTCTAGAAAATTATCTATTTAATATTTATAGAATATCTTTAAAATATTTTTCACTATATTTCAAATTTGTTTTATATTAAATTTGTATTATAAACTAAAAATTATTTTTTATTAATTTATTGTTTAATCTTAAATTGTAATAATATTTTCTAATTTATGATTAACGATAAATACATTTTAAAGACATGATAATTAACAATAAACTAGTATATTTTTCAAACTATAATTGAATGTATGTTATTATTTGTATGGTCTATAAAATTACTAGGGAATCACTACAGTAAAGTTAATAGCTTGATTTAAAAAAATATAGCTTATGTAGGTTATTTTTTATTATTAAAATATTTTTTAAAAATATATTATGTAATACTCAAATAATTTATGATTACCGTTAATTTATTTTTTTCTTGTTTATTTGTTTAATTAATTACTTAATTATTATAAAATAGTTGATAGTGATTTTAAATATTAGCTACCAAATCGATTACTGTAACATTTATTAATGTTTTAGTAATATACTGATTCAGATATATAGGTATACATTATGTATATTGTATTATAAGTTAGTATAATGTATATTATTTTTTTTAATAGATTGCCTGTATAATTGATAATAATTTATAATATAAAAACTTATCACAAAATTAACTTATTTGTATAATATTGTGTGTTTACTTATTATAATTGAAACACACTTATCTATAAACTATTTTATCATAAAAAAAACATTTGACATTCGTTTTATAAAAAAAAGATTTTCAATAATATAGTTTTATTTATTTAATTAAGTACTGTATTTGACAATTAAATATCAATCATGAAAACGAAAATTTTGTCAATTATTTTGCTGTCAATTTTGGTAAATAATGTTTATTTATTTAAATATAATTACATTACCACTGATGGTGTTATCCATACGAGTCATACCATTAACGGAACAATACCTGATGTCACTAATGAGACGGTAGCGGTGCTCATATACGAAAATAATGTTAACAAAACTGGGTATTTATACTAATCATTATTATCTAATCATTATATTATACAATCAAACAATTTATAACTTATTTGAACAGTTGGGCAAATCTAGAGTTGAAAACCTCTAATCGATTTACCGATAATGTCCAGTCATATATGGGTGGTGTAGTCGAAGGTTATATCACTGGCCAATTGATTCACTATAACTATCGCAACACTTATGAAAATATTTGTAAAAATAAAAAATTTTGTGAACTTCTCAAAAAGTTTGTCGAAAATAATAATCAATTTATTGATACAATGATTAAGAAGAAAAGTGATAGCAATTATTGGCATCAAATTGATTTGATTTATACACAATTAAAGGGATTACAAGAAGGATATAACAGATGGAAAGTTGAACACAAAATTAAAAATACGACAGAAACTGATTATTTAGGAGAAATATTTTTGATAAATATTGGACCCGAGTTGTCAACATTGGAGGAGATATTATTAAATAAAAAAATTAAAACCCGCGGCCATTGTTCGGCTATTGTCAAACCATTGGCCGACGGCAGTGATCTATATGTGTCACACAATACATGGAATACATACAACTCTATGTTAAGAGTGCTCAAGAAATATAGTTTTGCATTCAATACAATTGAATCAAATTTCACAAAATTAATATCCGGTCATTCGGTATCCTTTCCATCAGCGCCCGGGTCTTTGCTTTCTAATGATGACTATTATATATTATCATCCGGACTAGTAGTTCAAGAAACAACTAATGAAAATTTCAATATGTCTTTATTGGTCAATATTAGGGCCAATAACTCAATCCTAGAGTTTGCACGCAATGTTGTGGCCAATCGATTGGCCAATTCGGGCAAAGAGTGGACAGATTTATTTGCTCCATATAATAGCGGTACATATAATAACCAATTTATGATAGTTGACTATAAACTATGGAAAAAGGGTACCAAAGTAGCAGATTTACCAAATAATTTGCTTTGGATTATTGAACAGTTCCCATCTTTAATGGAAGCTCAAGATGTGACACCTGTGCTGAGAACACAGGGATATTGGGGATCGTATAATGTGCCATATTTTAAGGATTTGTATAACATTTCAGGCAATGCTGATATGGCCCGAAAATTTGGACCATTTTTTACTTATAATGGTACGGCTCGGGCTACGATATTCCGTCGCGACCACTCAAAGATTGTCGATATGAAGACATTGTATGCATTTATGCGATATAATGATTTCAAAAACGATCCGTTATCTCAATGCAGTCACTATAACCAGACCTGTAGTCCTCCCTATTCAGCTGACATGACCATCGCTGCTCGCAATGATCTCAATGATATTAAAGGCAAATATCCGATCGATGAGTGGAGTTACTATGGAGAGGGTGCCACCGATGCTAAGATGACCAACTCGTCAATGGTTTTGAATTTGGAAATGTTGGCCGTGTGTGGGCCCACCACTGAACAACAACCACCCTTTCAATGGTCTAAAAGTGATTTAGATCTTAATCATGACGGACAGCCCGATATTTTTAATTTTAAACCAATTTATGTTAAATGGTATCCATTGAGATACCAATTTGCAGATGATATTAAAAAATAAAAAATAATGTTTTGAAAATATAAAAATGTTATTAAAATAAAAGTTTTAATTATAAACGTTTTCATTAGTATTCATAGTATAATTTAAATTAAAATCTTATTAGACTATAACATATTAAATTTACTTTCAATCATTTAAAGTGTATTCCTATTATTAAACAAATATAACATTTTTATCTTTTTTTTTAAAAAAATAATAATGACATTAACATTATTTTAGTTTAATTGTTTGTGATATACTAAATGGTAAAATTTTTTGTATAAACTTGAAAAGTTATGATATAAATTTTATTAAAGTTTATACTGATTATGAAAATGACAATTTACAAAAATATTTTTTTTATGCATATAAAAATTTAATATATAAAATATAATTATACAATATATTATCCAAATGGATTCATACCTTAATATCATATACGGGAATGTCAATTAAACAAAAATTTATAACTGTCCCTATATGGTGTTTTGCTAAAAAAGTTTTTTTTCAATTTATTTAATAGCTAATTACAGTAATGTAAAAGTTATCTAGACCTACCAGTGCTACTCTATGTACAGTGTGTTTAATACTCACATATCGATCCTCATTTTTATCTCAAAACAAATTTTATCTCAAAAAATAACTACTCTTGACATTTATGTGACAATGAATTTCAAATAAATTTTATAATTTATGATAAATAAAAAATAATTAACTTAAAGTAATCTAAAATAATTATTTTTATTTTAATAATTAGCTAATTTTTGTTATAAATCTAGTTAAATATAATATCACATTATGACAATCAAAATTTTATCAATTATTTTGTTGACACTAATAGTAAATAAATGTGTCCATACATTTAAATATAATTATATAACCAAAGATGGTCTAATACATTATGATAGTGTCATCAATGGGACAGTACCACCTATGAAAGGAATGGTAGCTTCGATTATATACGAGAATAATGTTAACAAAACTGGGTATTTTAATCAAATTATTTTATAATAAAATTATTTTTAAATTATATTAATATATTGTTGTTTAATAATATACAGATGGGCTAACTTAGAGTTACAAACTTATATCAACTATACCGATGATATCCAGTCATATTTAGGTGGTTTTCTCGAGGGCTATATTACTGGCCAACTAATTCATTATAATTATCGCAACAATTTCGACGGCTTTTGCGAAAACAGCACTTTTTGTGAATTACTCAAAGAGTTTATGAAAAGTAATTATGAATTCGTTGATAGTATGGCAGCTAAAGAAGTGAACAGCGATTATTGGCATCAAATTAAACTGATTTACACACAGATTAGGGGTTTACAGGAGGGCTATAATAAGTGGAAAATAGAAAATAATATTAAAAATCCACCCGAAAGTCAATATTTGGATGAATTAATGTTCATAAATATTGGTTCAGAGTTGTCAAATTTGAAACAGATATTACTCAAAAAAAATATTCGGGTCACTGACCACTGTTCGGCAATTGTTAAACCGTTGGCCGACGGCAGCGATCTTTATGTGTCACACAATACGTGGAGTACTTATCAAACTATGCTAAGAGTGCTCAAGAAATATAGTTTTGCATTCAATACTATTAAATCAAATTTCACAAAAAGAATAGCCGGCCATTCGGTCTCTTTTTCGTCAAATCCCGGATCTGTACTCTCCGGTGATGACTATTATGTACTGTCCTCTGGACTGGTAGTTCAAGAGACCACAAATCAAAATTATAATATGTCTTTATTGGCTAATATACGAGCAAATAATTCAATCTTAGAGTTTGCACGCAATGTTGTGGCCAATCGATTGGCTAATTCGGGCAAAGAGTGGACAGATTTATTTAGTCCATATAATAGCGGTACATATAATAACCAATTTATGATAGTTGACTATAAACTATGGAAAAAGGGTACCAAAGTAGCAGATTTACCCAATAATTTGCTTTGGATTATTGAACAGTTCCCATCATTAATGGAAGCTCAAGATGTGACACCTGTGCTGAGAGCACAGGGATATTGGGGATCGTATAATGTGCCATATTTTAAGGATTTATATAATATATCTGGCAATGCTGATATGGCCCGAAAATTTGGACCATTTTATAGTTACACTGAGACGGCTCGGGCTATGATATTCCGTCGAAACCACTCAGAGATTGTCGATATGAAGACATTGTATGCATTTATGCGATATAATGATTTCAAAAACGATCCGTTATCTCAATGCAGTCACTATAACCAGACCTGTAGTCCTCCATATTCATCTGCTCTGACCATTGCTGCCCGCAATGATCTAAATGATATCAAAGGAAAGTATCCGTTTTCTTGGTGGGGTCACTATGGAGAGGGTGCCACCGATGCTAAGATGACCAACTCTTCAATGGTTTTGAATTTGGAAATGTTGGCCGTGTGTGGGCCCACCACTGAACAACAACCACCGTTTCAATGGTCTAAAAGTGATTTAGATCTTAAACATTACGGACATCCAGATATATTTAACTTTAAGCCTATTTATGCAAAATGGGATCCAATGAGATATCAATTGGCAGATGATATTTGAAAATAAAATCAAAAGTTATTATTGAAAATTAAAATAATAAACTCATAATTATATAGATTTTTATGAGAATAATGTACTATAATTTTTTTATATCTTCCAAATTGGCTAATTTGAAATCAATTGCAAAATATATGAGTAATTATTTGTATAATTTTTGTTGAACAGATGGTTTAAGACTCAGGTATTAATAGTACAGTCAATCCTTATATACATTACTACCGCATTGATAATTAATCTGATTTTTAAAAAGTATTATAACTGTAAAAAACAGTTCAAACTATTTTAAAAACAAATATTTTTTAGATAATGATATAAATAATTAACTATTTATTACTATACTAGCAATGATTATATCCGTAATTATTTAAAAGGTTAGCTTTAAGTGAAGGTTTTTTTAAAATTAAAATATTACTCTATATGTACGGTAATTGTTTGTTTTTAAAAAACAATTACATTTAATATTATGTGAAAAATATTTTGTTTTTATATACAGTAGTATAAAGTTATCAATGATAATGACATAATAATTCTGTATAATTAAGGGACACTTTTTGGGAACTTTGAACACCTGGTGTGTCATCCAATTGGTTTGAATTGATATGATTGTCATCTAATAATTGTCGATTAGTAGTAGTTTTTTGTTTGACACGAGTGGAGCACTGGATCTGTTATCATCACAGGTGACGGTAAAGTTTACAGAAGTTTATATTAATCGTATCCGTCTATAGGAGTCATATAAGGAACTGAATTTATTTATAGTAATTAAAAATACAAAGTATCATTAAATTTTGTCTAATTTGTTTGCATCAAACAAAACAGCTCCCGGAGCTGTACAACAGTGAAGCAAATACAGTATGTCTAACCAATTGATCTGTTTATTGATTATCTGTGTGACTGTCTTACATGAGACACAATCATCAATCATCGATGACATTCAGATCATCCAATTTGTTGCCAAATTTTTATTCAACAATCGACTACTAATTTCATCCAAACTCAATGATGTATTTCATGTGCCCAATAATTATAGTTTCAATAGTGTCGATGAGTATATCAAAAATAAATTAAGCGATACTTACGGTGAACTCGTTGATGAAAAAGTTAATGATTTCTATCAAAGAATTCATAATAATGTAAATCAAATGCAAATCTAATTAATTTTTATAGCTTTTTTAGATAATTAAAAATTATTGATTTTTTGTTTGTTTTATGCATCGGTTTTTTTATTTGTTAGTTAAGAAACTTGATAAAGTAAATTTCCTAGTAAATTTTCCAGTAATTATTCTAAATTGAAAATATCTAAAAATTAGCAAAAATAATGTAAAAATCTATTAACTATAAAAAAATTTATCATAAAATTTCAAGTAATTTGATCTTAAAGTTTACTAATAGTTATTTATTAATCAAGTTTTATTTGCTCATTGAAGCCCAGAGGTCTTGAATTTTGTGTTTATAATTTAATATAACTATAAATTTTTATGATTTTTTTTAGTTTATGGAAAAATTAATATATATATCATATAATTATTATGTTTAGACTAATAAACTAAATGAGAAAATTAATGGTAACAAAAATTTTGAAACATTTGATGAATACCTTAATAATAATAACAAGTTTTTTGGTGAGAGTCGAGTACTGTTAGCTAAAAGGATAAGTGATAATATTGAAAGTATGTGCACTTTTATAGCTACAAAAAATTGCTATTATTTTTGCTAATAAATTATATTAATTATTATTATTTATATAACATATTTGAATTGATAATCAATTTTTATAGATCTTTCTAATTTGCACCGGGAGATAAGCGATAAAATTAAACAAGCTATTGAAAGTAATGATAATGACCTGGACACTCTTAATCATAATATTGATGATGACAAATGGCAACAAATAGTTGATGCCTATAATCGTTTTGTTGAAGATATGAAATCTAAAAATATATTTTACGAGATTACAGATAATGTATTGATATTGAGATTATTTTGTTTAGTTGTTTATAACTACTGTACATATACTGTACATAGTTTTGTGTATTAACTTAAAATACTAACAAAAAATTATTATTTATTATTTTGTCAAAAAAGTTTTTTGACAGTTTGACTAATCAATTGATCCACGAGTTGACCGCCAAATATCACATCAAATACAATCCACTAATTGATTCGTTGTCCGAATCGATGACATACAAGAAGCGGATCAATGAGACACTGTATGAGTGCAAAGCCATTACCAAACACAACGACATACAGAAAGTTTGTTGCAATATATTGACGTACATCGAGAAGACAACCGATAAAAAAGAGATCAAAAAATATATTGAAGCAAATTTGCCAAAAAACTACTGGAATAAGTTTGAGACGGCACTGGACACGGGTGGCATACCGGCGCTCAAATATGTGGCCAACAACTGTTGCAATCCCAAGGGTGGTCTCATGAAAGCACTCATATCAATGACTTTTATTAATAACGGCTTTCCAGTGATTAAGTCGTCTGATTACAAGAGATTAGAGATAATATTGCAATTTATTTCATGGATCGAGTCTGTCATCAAAACGGGACTCCACTACCAACCGGACGACTATAATAATAATATATTCAACTATTTATTATTATTATAATAACAAAAATGCTAACAAAAAATAAGAGATAATTTGTTATAGATTAATATAATAATAAAATACTCAAATAAAATATCATTATTTTTTTGTTTGCTTTTGTTTTATTTTCCCAAATAGTTTTACATATATGGTAGTGAATCAATTAATTGATCAATATATACATCAATTAATATTAAAGTGATAATTGCATCAAATATACATAACCATAAATTAATTTGACATTTCAAATTATGCCATATTTAATGAATCAAAATTAAAATAAACCAGCTATTGATTAAAATAACTATTAATATTATTTAAATTATATTAAAATGTATAATATCCCATAATATTATAATATCAAAAACTAAAAATTATTGAAACCTTTATAAATGTTGATAATTAGCTTAAAATTGTTTTATGAAATCATCAACTAATTTGGGGCTGACAAGTAATAAAATTTGTTTAATTTATATATGCAAACACACACACACACACACACACACACACACATATGCAAACAAAAAATTTGTTAAAATAATTTAATATATAAATTATTGAATAATAAATTATAGTAATTTTCAAAGAGGTTTGGTTAGTAATAGTATAATTTATATAAACTCTGTATCTCATAATCAATGCAATCATCTCTCTCTTTCTCAATGTTTGTCTAAAGATTCATTAAAAAAATTGTTGAATAGCTAGAGGTAAACAATTTAAAAAATAAATAAATAATAATATTAAATAATTGTTCAAATAGTAATTAAATTACAGTCAATGATATAATTACAATGCATTTGTTGCTTAATATACTTTTTTGCCAATTAAGTGATACGAGAGAGAGAGAGAGAGAGAGAGAGAGAGAGAGAGAGAGAGAGAGAGAGAGAGAGAATAAAATCATTAACAAAGTTTTTTTTGAAATTAAAAAATAAATTACATTAGTTGACAAAATATTTGGCGATAAATTTAATAATAATTTTACAGGCAATTGGAGAGATCCCTGACCTTAATTGAACCCTCTCATCATTATCTACCAGTTCTCTACAACAAGTGTAATGTTTGCCTAATAAACTCCAACAAGTGTGTAATACATATGCTATTTATAGCTTATTTTGTTAATTGCATTTCTTGGAAATAGTATCCATAAATTGAAATTTAAGTTAATTTTTAGTATTAGTATTATTTGTTGATTTGATTGTTTCCAGATTTTTAACATTAAATAACCCCCACTTAGAGGGTTAGATACACAGTGATAGGGTGTCATATGACAGGTCACTTCTAAACCATATACTAGTTTATATCTATGGGAAATCATTGTCTTGAAGTGGCGATAATTTTGTCATCATTTAAGACATTAACTCGTAATTCAATTTAATATTTATTTAACTTTTATCGCAACCTTTTTCTTCTTTGCTGTTCATTTGCAGCTTCTTTAGCACCACTCGACCGACTGTTCACTGATGAAGACGTCTACTAATTCTCACATATATTTCCAGTGAACACTTCAGTGCTATTTCAAGTGTGTACTGTATTTACTATACTGTAGTAGTTGTCTATATAATTGTGTGTAGAGAAGGGTTGGTTCGTCTAACAAAACCATAGCGTGTCTCAACATAAAGTGAAACTAACTATTTGGGGAATAGGAGTATTGCGTGAGTGGTGTGGTGTGTGTGTGTCTGTGTGTGTATGTGAGCGCTCCTAAAAATTATAAGTGCCATCAGTTTTAGGACTATTTCACAGATGAATAGCATTTTGTATGTCTCTCTCTCTCTCTCTCACTCACTGTACTCTTGAAGCGGAAAATACAGTCAAACTATGACTGCAATCACTGTATATAAGTTCTCGTGTTTCACATTCCTGTAATCACTTCCACTCCTTAAAGAAAAGTAAAGTTCCCACAAATACAAGCATTTTATTAGTTATTTTGAAAGAGAGAGAGAGAGAGAGAGAGAGAGAGAGAAAAAAAAATAAAATAAAAAAAGAAAACTCTTGTCTTTTATTTAGACTTAAAGACTACAAGACTTAACAACAGATTTTTTTGTTTGTTGTTTCAAATCATATGGACTTTCAATTATTGAGTGCTTAGGTATGTCCGATGATTGCGTGTCCACCCCTTCCTCCGCTTAAAAAGATTACTACTAAGACTCTGAACACCCCACCAATGTTTGCCCATTTTAAATGGATCCCACTGTTTGCAACAATTATTGCAATGATTTAGTTAACATACACTAAACAATACATTATATAATAGAGTATATATTATTGTATATATAAGTGACTCTCTATTTGTTTTATATTTAGATTCACTTTCTTTTACTATTGAAAAAAAAATTTATGTAATAACATTTTTCACGGGAATTAAACATTGTGTGTGTGTGTGTGTGTGTGTGTGTGTGTGTGTGTGTGTGTGAGAGAGAGAGAGAGAGAGAGAGAGAGAGAGAGTTAATGCAATGGACAGGTATGCAATGCAAAAAGGTTATTATCCAACTATATACTCTTTATTTTATTTTTATAGATTTGAAGGCATTATTTTTAATTGAATTTTACTCGACTCATACCATACGGTGCGCGTGATATAAGTATATCTAAAAACATAAAATACATTTATTTTTTTATTATAAAGTTTATACTCAAAAAAAAACTGCCACTAAATTAAACACTTATACCATCAATAAGTGTTTGAAATTAAATTAATTTCATTTAAGTTTTTTTGTGCTTATCTTATCATTCAATTAAATTTTGAACTTTGTTTTTTACCTTTCTATAAACTACAGTATATTTTTTGAAATTTTCAATTTTGTTAATTTTATTTTATGACAACTTTCTCTTTATGTTTACCTGACTGTCGGGTGCTTTCATTATAATCACTACTAAAATCAATAAAAAAAATATATAAAATATCATTAAAGTCAAAATTTATTAATTTATTTTTATTTAATTAGAAAAATATTGATATAAATATTCTTTAAAAACACGTATATATATGTAGTAAACAGTTGTATTAATAAAATAAATTATATCGAAAACATTAAATAATTTCTGACAAATTGAGGTAAAAAATAGACTAAAAAAGATATTTTGAAATTTAAGAAAAATAAATTAATGTTAAAATATTTGCTAAACTAAACTGAAAAATACATTAAAAATTAAACCAAATATTAGTCGAGACTCATATCCAAAGTGTCTGCCAATCGGTTTGATTTGTCTACTATTTTCATCAACATTTTGTTGACATCATTATCTATGTCGTCACCAGTAGTAGTGGACAAACTGTTTGTCTTATTATTCATCGTTTGCATATTCAGTTCACATAACTCCAAGTTGTTTTGGACTTTGTTCATCTCTTGGATCAAGTATTTGATATCTTGTAGTACATCCACAGTCTCGATGTTTGTGGCCAATTCAATCCGTGCGGCCACTCCTTTCACTAATTTTTTTTGACAGACATTGCATTAAGTGTCGATAATTTAGGGGTATATGTATTGCATTGATTGATTGTCGCATCAATCGCGCAGTTAAAGTAATTAAGTTTATTAATAGACGCACCACTATTTCATTACTTTAAGTTAGGTTTGGGTGGGTGTGGAGGGTTAGGTAGTGGTGTGTGTGTGGGAAAGGGAATGGAGGTGAGGAATATTATAAATGTTTAAACTGCGGTTTCAACTATGTATGTGTGAAATAACAACAATCAATAAAATACATATACCGAAGCTGAATACCGAAGTATCAATAAAATCTTAAAACTACCGTGAATTTTTGAGAGCTGATCCAACAATTGATCGATTCTGGTCTCAATACTATCCAATTCAGTGATGATCTGTCGATAGTCAAACTGATCGCCACTATTACCAATGTTTAGACGACCAAAACCTTTGGCCATCAAATCGCTATTATTACTGACAGCCGATCTATTGATTGATTTCTGAGGTAACATAGTTTCAACGGTTAGTGTACTAAATGATGACAAAAAATATCTTAAAAGCAGTCAATATTTTAGACTAAAAAATTAAATTATTTTTTTATAGAGAACTTAAACGTCAAAAAACAAAAATCGTTTCAAAAATATTTTCAATCGATAAAAATCGATTCATATTAGTATTATTGTAATACACGCGCAAATGAGTTATTTATTTATTTAGATAAATAGGTTCAAGTATTTTGTTTTTAAGAAAAAGGCAAATGCATTATCGATAAAAATTTATTTAATTAATGTTATTCATTAATAAAATTAAAATTAATGTACAGTATATTCATTTTGTGATGAAAATAGAAAAATAATTTTTATTCATTAGAAATTTTTCAATCGTTAGTGCAATAAATTTTATTCTCATTTTAATTGATTATTTGAATGAAACAAAATCATGAATTAGTGTCCAGTGAGTGCCTATTAGGGCCATTGGGGTAATAGATGTAACTAATCCTGTGGTTTATTTAAAAATAAAATTAATTTTTTAACTCATTTTTTATAATTTGTAAGTAAAATAGTTGTAAATGATTTTTTCTTTGAAAAGTTATTTGACTATAAAAATCATGGTTTTTCAAGTGTTTATGAGAAAAACATGATTACTATTTTCAGTGCCAAATACACTATGACTTATTACACCCCCTTTTAGTACTATATCTTTGAAGATTTTGAAAAATTTTAACTAAAAGCCTATCAATTAATTAAACTCTTATTTCAATTAAGCAAAGGTATGTAATGTTAAGCAATAGATGTGCAAACGTAGACAAGAAAATACTTATTTAACTTTTTTCGGGTCTTTAATTAGTTTTTAAAATAGTTTTTAATCAAATTCTCGATTATATCAATCACTTTCAACTATTGCCGTCTCTTTTATATAGAAAACAGAGAAAGAAGAGTAAAATAAGAGAAAAATTTCAATTATTTTTTAAAAACTATTTTTTATAATTTAGACTCTCTCTTATCAATTGCTTTTTGGGAATTGATATATACATTACAATCTATAGAAATACCAAATAGATATACCAATTTATAGTATAGAAATTTTATTTTATTTTTATATTATATTATGATGATCTCTCTCTCTCTCTCTCTCTCTCTCTCTCTCTCTCTCTCTCTCTCTCTCTCTCTCTCTCTCTCTAACACACATACATACACACGTCTGACTTATCATTTCAATTAAGAGATTTCAAATCAAAAATTATTTTATTTTATTATTATAATAGTAGTAATAATATTAATATATATATATATATATATATATATATATATATATATATATATATATATAATTTTATTTTTATTTAATGGACAATAACAAGTAATATTTTTAATAGTAATAATAATAAAACAAAATTGAAAACTACATTTTTGTTGTTGTTATTGAGTTTAATATAATATTTTGTTATATAGTTATGTATAGATAGTACTGTACAGTACAGTATATATACCGTATATATAGACATTATAAATGAGTTGTAAGATTTGCAACAAGTTATTGAACACAAAATGTTTTTTTTGATAATAAAAATCCAAAAAATAAAATTAAAAATTTAATATATCTTTTTTGCGGAACATCTTTTCTATGCATAATATATTAGATACTGAATTGAAATATTGAATTAATATTTTGTTGTAAAACTAAATAACACTAATAATAATAAAAAATTATTTTTTGTCGTGAGTTTAACGTTGAGAACTATTATTATATTAACATTGGAAGCGGTCATTCAAACATTGATTTAAATAATAAAAAGCTAAGCTATAGTAAGTGCCTCTCTCTCTCTCTCTCTCTCTCTCTCTCTCTCTCTCTCTCTCTCTCTCTCTCTTTATTAATAATAGCATAGGATATAAATACAGTTATTAAACTATGAAAAACGTTTTGCACAGGTATTCAATTGGCGATGTTGTGTGCGTATGTGTTGTGTTATGTAAGGCATTAACTTTAAATTACATGCTTTTTGATGAGTCAATCAATACAATGGACTTTTTTAGTAGAGAGAGAGAGAGAGAGAGAGAGAGAGAGAGAGAGAGAGAGAGAGAAATAAAAATTTTATATAAAACAAACTGCATATATATATGTGTGTTATTATATTATATAAAAGTTTTTCTCCCTCTCTATGCCAGTGTTTTTTCAGTAATGTGTTATTGAAATACATAAGCACTGGTAAAGACACAAGAGTTCAATGAAATGGTACATCAATTTGCCATTCAATGTATCGCCCATTTGTCCGACGCTTACATATGTGTTGTCGATGCAACACATTATGTGCATATCTGTCTTCGGGCATCTCCTATCCCTCCCAGTGCTCTACAGTATCTCTGGTGTCTCTCCCAAAAACATACAATCAATTCATTTAATCTATTGGTTCGCATATTTTTTCTCTCACTTTTCTTCACTACCGATAGTGTGTTATCCGTTAAGAAAATCTTTTGGTCGCTTAGTATAATAAAACACTTTTTTCACACAAAATCACAAAAAATCTCGTTTTTCTCGCAGTGTTGTTGACTAAAAACACGACGTTTTATGGAAAGGGAGTTGAAAACACACATACAGAGAGACATACAAATAATACATTATATATATAGTGAGATAGCAATGCAAATGTAATAAAAATAAATTAAACTTTTTTTGGTAAAGAAAACACTGATTGAATGATCGATTGTATGGATAGTTGCATTGAAAATATATTAGAAAATGAGTCTTAAATTTTTTGAATGTGTGTGTGTGTGTGTGTGTGTGTGTGTGTGTTAAATGATTTCCCATAATTCAAAATCTACAGCACAGTTAGCTCCCTGAGCCCAGTGATCAATGGCATTTGGACTCCCAGTCTGGTTGGCCTCAATAAAGCAATAAAATTAGATAATTTCTAAAAATGTTTTGTAAAAATTATTGCTCTCTATCTCACAATTTGTCAATAATACCCACAATAATAATATAATACAAATATAATAATAATTATATAATATAACAAACAAAAATAATCTAATGTTCAATGGATAGTAAAAATAATAATAATAAATTTGACTGATTTTTTAAAACTTTACTCTCACTTTATATATTTATGTGTAATGGGTGTGACTTTATCTTAAAATTATTTAAGTTATATACAGTATTATACATACATATAAAAATTAAATTACTTTTTATTACTTGTCATTTCTGGTAGTTTTACTGGTTATTGTATTCTTACAAATGATTATACATTTATCCATATCTGTAATAATCTCTCTCTCTCTCTCTCTCTCTCTCTCTCTCTCTCTCTCTCTCTCTCTCTCTCTCTTGTTGATTTCATCCGCCACCACAATATAATAAGAGAGAGAGAGAGAGAGAGAGAGAGAGAGAGAGAGAGAGAGAGAGAGAGAGAGAGAGAGAGAGAGAGATAGAGAAAGTTATAAAACATAGATTATAAATAGTAAAATTTCTAGAGTAATTGATGGCAATAAAACTTATGGGAAAAAACTCATTTTTTATTGTATAAAACATTTATTTGTGTTATACATATATTCCTGTATTTTAAACCCGGTTATACTTTAAGTACAATATTATAGAGTATATGTATAAAAAGTTTGAAGACTAGTTATATTAGTTATTGGAAACAAATTAAAACAAATTTTTATACTCCCTTTCCATTTCGTCTATACTATACTAATACAAGTACTACAACTCCCATATAATTCTAATACTAGTTTTTGTCTACTCATAAATCTCCAGACATCGCATCAACATCTGTGGCTAAAAAACTTTTTTATTTTAAAAGCATTTATACGGTATATATACCACACAAACAGTAACCATATCTTTCACTATACGGTATAAGTCATGTGAAACATTTTATTTGAATCCACACAACACAACGTTTAAAAATCTCTCTTTTCAATAACAATTTGAGTACTGATTGAAAATTTGTCATAAAATTTATGACTAATAATATGGTTGAGTGAATAGTGAATTGAGGAGAAAGAAAAATAAAGAGAATCGAGAGAGAGAGAGAGAGAGAGAGAWAGARAGAGAGAGAGAGAGAGAGAGAGAGAGAGAGAGAGAGAGAGAGAGAGAGAGAGAGAGAGAGAGAGAGAGAGAGAGAGAGAGAGAGAGAGAGAGAGAGAGAGAGAGAGAGAGAGAGAGAGAGAGAGAGAGAGAGAGAGAGAGAGAGAGAGAGAGAGAGAGAGAGAGAGAGAGAGAGAGAGAGAGAGAGAGAGAGAGAGAGAGAGAGAGAGAGAGAGAGAGAGAGAGAGAGAGAGAGAGAGAGAGAGAGAGAGAGAGAGAGAGAGAGAGAGAGAGAGAGAGAGAGAGAGAGAGAGAGAGAGAGAGAGAGAGAGAGAGAGAGAGAGAGAGAGAGAGAGAGAGAGAGAGAGAGAGAGAGAGAGAGAGAGAGAGAGAGAGAGAGAGAGAGAGAGAGAGAGAGAGAGAGAGAGAGAGAGAGAGAGAGAGAGAGAGAGAGAGAGAGAGAGAGAGAGAGAGAGAGAGAGAGAGAGAGAGAGAGAGAGAGAGAGAGAGAGAGAGAGAGAGAGAGAGAGAGAGAGAGAGAGAGAGAGAGAGAGAGAGAGAGAGAGAGAGAGAGAGAGAGAGAGAGAGAGAGAGAGAGAGAGAGAGAGAGAGAGAGAGAGAGAGAGAGAGAGAGAGAGAGAGAGAGAGAGAGAGAGAGAGAGAGAGAGAGAGAGAGAGAGAGAGAGAGAGAGAGAGAGAGAGAGAGAGAGAGAGAGAGAGAGAGAGAGAGAGAGAGAGAMAGAGAGAGAGAGAGAGAGAGAGAGAAAATCGAGAGACTTATCGTTTTAAAAGCTATTTTGACTTTCCTTTCTCTTAATTTCTATGCACTATTCAGTATATCAATCAAACAAAATGAAACATAAACTAAATGTTAGTGTATTTGTCAATCAAAGCCAATTTGTTATGCAATCATAGAGTGACTCTCCATCTCTCTCTCTCTCTCTGAACACCTCCCTCTCCCTCTCTTTCCTTTCTCTTAATTTATTAGATATATATATATAAGAAGCATCAGCTCTCTGAAGGCTCATAACGATGACTGTTAAGACTTCAACCACAAGAAACAAAAATCCAAAATCCAAATCTGCGCCCACATTAGGCCTCACCACACAAAACATACCGGTGCTATATCTTTCT